ATTCATACATGTGTTTTCATGTACGCGGGTTGAAAGCAGTTAATAAGATGCCCTGAATATACGTCTCTCTATAGCTGGCAGTTGTTAGCGCACTGTACTTGCAATCTTGAGAGAATTGGTGCTCCCTGGTGGACTCGAACCCTTATCATCCAGTCCCACAGTCGTCTCTTGTAGGACTGAGATATTTACAACGACTAATCATTGAGTAGTGGTCAATGTCATTTTTTTCTAAACCTTAATGTTAGTCGAATACTAAAGATCAAGTTGCAGGGTTTCCCGTCGATTACCTCCAATTAATTATTATCAAAACATAGTACTGGCGATTTCATATCACTTAGACTAGTGACCACATTGCACCTTGAAAACCAGGAAACTGTGACATTGGTCACTGTTCATTGATTAAACAACATAAATAAATATTTTCAGTTATGTTAGTGGTGAAAAGCAAGTGTTCAGTGATTACAGTACATATTTTTTTTTAATGAAAAAAAGTCACTTAACATGCCGATTGTCATTCGGTTAACACTTAAACTAAAAGCAATAAGATTATGTCACTTTAAAGCATTAGAAATAAAGATAACTGAAAAAGTAATCACTATGAATAATCATAAATATGATCCAAAATTGATATCAAATGACTCACTTCGTTGATTTTTTCAGTATCAGTTTCATTTCGATTAGCTCGAAACTCCGCATTAATCTTTTCTCTGGCGGCTAGATAGAAACATCCACAAGCACGCACATAAGCACAAATATTTTTTATAAATAAACAACACAAAATTTATACTTAACTGACATATAAAATACATATAAATGATTAATAATAAAGTAGATTATCCATATCAAGATTTGCTATTTAGATATTTAGAATAAAAGACAAAAAGACTGAAGAACTTAATTTTCAACCAGTATCTCCGTATGGTATTATACACTAACTACTCCAGAGAAGTCGGTGATATCACCCTTATTATTTGTAATCATAAATGGCTTTGCAATAAATATCATACATCATACCCAACGTAGATACAGGCAAATATGTAAACCGGTTCGAGCTGCCACAACACATTAGCACAGCGAATTGCCAGATTAGTAGACATAGTAACAGCATAAATTATAGTAAAAAATATTAGACATAGAAGAAATAATTTGGAAATAAAGAAATAGATCGATATAATAAAAAACAAATACTTAAGGTAATTAAGAAGCTTGAGATGTGGCAGAATATAGAGAGCGAAAGCATTTACGCCACTGTGACCAACTCTGAGACATGACACCACCCAAAGGCGGCGGCGTTATAATTCATAGACGAACAAACCAGATTGACGAAAATGCCTCTTGAAATTTCTTGCAAAACTCATTCTTACAATGATGCAAGTCTGTAATAAAAACCTTAACTCTTAACACTAATTCGTTGCATGAATTCATAAACTTACTTTGACCTTAGTAAGTGGGTGGAGTTTCTCAAGACTACTTAAGTATCACTCAAAAGTCTTTCACGAATTAAAGTCCCGCAGAAGAGGAAAATACGTTGAGGTGTTCAAAAGATAAAATTCAACTTGTCGCTAATATAATCGAAGTATCAGAGTTTGGTGTGTAAGATACCACAGAATTTTCCACTTTACGTTCACAACTGTACAAAGTATACATTTTCGTTTCATTATGATCTTTCAGTAGCTTTTCAATCAATTAGTCAATCAGTTTATGTTAGTGCACAACCTGCAAAGTGTGTATCGATCTAAGATGTTAAATTTAACTTCAGAACAAACAGAAGAGAAATAAACAAGATAAGAAACATATGATGAGAAATTTCACCAAAACTAATGAAAATCTGAACATGAAGAATAAAGTTCAAAAAGGGAACAAATATAATTGAATAATGGAAAGTTGGAAATAATAAATGAATCAAGATTTAAATGATGATAGAGAATAAATGAAGCTATGCCCTACTGTTACTTATCTTACATCATGTTATCGTCACTCACCATTTTCAACCTTAGTGATTTTATAATGGATATCAGTTTTTAAAAAGTACATTGAACCAACATCTATAATACAATTCTTACTATTCATTAAAGAAAGTTGATAAAAAGAATCGGTACGTAATCATCCATTCATCGTTTTGTAGAAAAATCAACCAACCTATTCGTTCATTTATTTATTATCAATATTTATCTTTAGCTAAATAAATTTGTATGATAACTGTGTTCAAAAGTCTTTTCTTTTCAACAATAGTTTAAATAATAGTGAAATAAGTAAAACAAAATTATTCATAAACAGTTGGATGCCAGATTTTCAGAGGTAATCACAAGAATATATGGAACATTAGCTTCCAACGACTTTTTGATAAACATGAACACAGAGGAAGTAAAAATGTTGAAAAAAAAAAAGAAACTGTGTGTTGCTCGTGATACTTCAATCTACAACATTAACTCAACATGATAGTTGTAAATTATTCTGAAGATATATGTACATGAATAAACTCACAAACCAACTATATAAATATTGGAATTTACCTTGTAGTGTTTCGATATCAGCTTTAAATACATTTTCACATGTACGGTGAAGTTTTTTAAATATATTCAAGGCCTAAATCATAAAAAGAAAATTAGTTTATCATTCTGTAAATACCAACAAAAAAAAAGAGAAAAAAAGGTAAATTAATGGAATAATCAAATATATGCCATTTATGCAATGTTTAAGAAAGACGAACAGAAAAGGCTGTAAAATAAAAATATTTTAAACTTGTTACTAACTATATTACACTAAAAGTCAACCATAATCTAGATAACAACTTCTATAAAAGATGACAAACTATCACACTGAAATTACTGCTGTTATCTGAGAGTTATTCAACACACAGAAGAAACAGTCATAATGATCAAAGAAAAATGTTTATTTTTCAGTCAAAATTATTAGTTAACTAGGAAAAGTTTATGAATACATTTCAGTGTGAAATCAGACCATCTGAAATAAAAACTAATACTTTGTAATTGGAAATGAAGTTTGAAAAACACCAAACAACCACAGTTGGTATTATAAGACAAACCTAAATAATATCTAGTACTTGTTCTAATAAACTGAAGTACAAGAAACCTTAATTTAGCCTTTTTCTGAAACAAAATTATCTTTTTACTAATTCTAAAAATCCAGTTAACTTATTATTAAAAATGTTATATAAGCTTTTAGATAAGACTGAACATACTCATAAATGTTAACATTAGTGAAGTTAAACAACACTAACATATTGGCAAATATACAGATTCACGTTAGTTAAATTGAGTGTTTAACCAGAGATTAAACAATCATTTTATATATTACAAAAATAGTGGCTGATAGATTATGCAAAACAAACATGTGGGATAAACATAAGGTTATTTGTTTTCACCATACAAAATAACTCATATGTGTAAACAGACCTTATCAATTGAAGCGATAAGAAACACTTTTTGGAGTTACGTAATGTAATTTCCATTATGTAAACTGAACAAAGAATAACAAATAGTGGCGGAGAGTAGAATTCCCTGTTACAAATCAGTCTATATATATATAAAAAACTTGGAAGCTTTATCAGTCAACCGTTGGGAAAAGCGACAATCACATCTCTTATTTATAAGTAACTAAATCATGCCAGGTAAGTTATTAATGTAGTCAGTAAACCTAATGACTAAACAACTTAGTACACTTATTTTGATAACGGATAATACATAAATCAGTGAAATATGTAAGTCTGACTTAATCAGAGAATTAACGTTGATAATATATCGCTTAACAGCCATTTGTCACTCGCGTAACTCAAAAATTTAAAACTTACTCGTGCACGTTGCATTACAATCATATATAAGACGACATCTAGAAAAAATGTAAACAGTAGTTATATGAGCAAATAACTTATCGATTCGAACTAGATAATTATGATAATTAATAAATGATGGTTTGATTGCTTCAAAGTAAAGAAATAAACAATAAGAGAGAAATTTTGATAAGTGTAGATTTGTAGCAAGAAAATAACTGCACAATACGCTTGAGAGCATTGGACTCGAACTATTTCAGTGACTTTATCCTGTCAGGTCGGGTTATGTCAACATTTTCTATACAATCAAACTGAAGATTTAAGCCGAAGACATAGATTCAAACTGGGTCAGTGTCATGCAAAAAATTGGTTTTGGTGAAGTTTAAAATTGTGGGAAACCATGTAAAGAAAAATACAACTGTCAGGAATGTTAATGGGATTAGTAAATAATTATGTTTTTGGTTTCGAAGTATCTATGAATTTCCTATTCCATCTTCGAGATAATATTTGGATATGTTCTAGTATTTATATTGTTCCAGTTGGTACATTCAGGTATATGCGAACTATCATCACTTATACTTTCACACATTAAACCAAAAGACGTATGCAACATGTTTCTGTATAGACGTGCCAAAAAACAACAATATTGATTATTTACATTGCCATTACTAAAGTGAAATTTTAAGTTATGTTGTTACAGCTATAAACATACATCAAAACATAACTGTGAAAGAAAACAATAGGAAACAGATTATACGATGACATGAAATTAGATATCTACCTTTTAGCGTGTAATGTAATTGATTTACCAGTTATCGGTTTATTTATCTTACTTCTAATCACAATGTTTGTGTGATGATTAGCATTGATACCCTGTTGTCCGAAATGGAGTACATAGTGAAAGGTTCGAACTTTACAATGTATTACTTGAAATGTAAATACTTTAACAATTAAATCACTGCTAATTCCTAGAACAATATTGGCATCTTTAATTATGCTAATATTATCGATTATGAAATATGTAAACATGAACTTAATATTGTTTTAGTGAGAGATAAACCAATCATGAACTTCATCAATGAATATTACATTATCCTTTAACTTCATCCATGTAACTTTTAAATTAGGTCAGTGATAGTGATTCAATATGATACATTGAATTAAGGAAATAAAAATTAGATTTATATTTTGTTTAAATAAAAACAAAATAAGACAGAACATGAAATTTTTATTAGTAGTATCATTATTAACAATATGAATATAAAACAGAAATATTCTAGATGTAAACATAAAAAATATAAACAATCAAAGTAAACAGAATGAAACTGAAATTACTGATTTGAAAATGTAAACAACAATTGTTAAAACAAACAGAACTAATTGATAATAATATTTTAAAAAACAATTGCGAAATAATGAAACAAAAAAAGAAAAAAAGAAAGAGAATAACAACAACGACAAATTCAAGAAATAAGTGAAATTATAAACAACAAGAAAAGCATAAAATAACTAATAATGATTATGTAATAAAATAATGTATAATCAGAAGAGTATCAATATAAATGAACTAAACATTTAACGTATACAGAAAGGGAAAATAAACAAACCAACTAAAATACAAAATGTACACAACAGGGAAAATGATTATATTTTTGAGAAGAAATTTAATGTAAATTTTATAAAGCTAACACGAATAACATGTGAATAATTGGAAATAAATTGTTTTAACCAATTAATGTTATAATTATTATTCAATTTTCGATGAATTAACAATAATTGGATTGTATTCGGTTTCATGGAATTATTCATCCACTGTCCTAAAGTAGAAAAATATAAAGAGGGAAAGAGAGAGAGAGAGAGTAAAAAAGTACACTCACATATACACATACACAAATGTACATAAGTAATTAATTATTTAATAAAGACAATGGTGTATGGTGGTGCAACTTCGTGGATTGGTTGAAGTTAGACATTAACACCGTTGGATGCCGGCTCAGTGGTCTAATGGTTAAGTGTTCGCGCGCGAAGCCAGTAGGTCCTGGGTTCGAGCCCCGCGTGGTGCGGGATCGTGGATGCGCACTGCTGAGGAGTCCCATACTAGGACGAAACGGCCGTCCAGTGCTTCCAGGTTTTCAATGGTGGTCTAGCTTCAACTGACTCATGATTTAAATCTGTGAAAATCTCTAAAAATCTCCACAAACCCCTTCTGATAATAATCATCTGCTCATTAGTGACTGACTTCAAGAGACACTCCTGGAGTTCTAGTGGGAAGCCGTTACCAGTGGAGTTCAACCAGGTCTGTTGTGAGATATCAGCTCACTGAAGACAATGGTATATGGTGGCGCAACTTCGTGGATTGGTTGAAGTTAGACATTAACACCGTTGGATGCCGGCTCAGTGGTCTAATGGTTAAGTGCTCGCGCGCGAAGCCAGTAGGTCCTGGGTTCGAGCCCCGCGTGGTGCGGGATCGTGGATGCGCACTGCTGAGGAGTTCCATACTAGGACGAAACGGCCGTCCAGTGCTTCCAGGTTTTCAATGGTGGTCTAGCTTCAACTGACTCATGATTTAAATCTGTGAAAATCTCTAAAAATCTCCACAAACCCCTTCTGAAAATATGAGAGTGCCTACGAATACATGTATTTTATACATCTTTTAGTGTAGACAACCAATGAAAGATGAGAAACGGAGAAAGTAAACGTGCCTACTCAATAAATGATGAGTAAGAGTATTACCAAGCATGAAAGAGACGCAAGTATACTGATACAAGTTCTATCATACGCATATCCTCAAGGTTATGCACATAAATAACAGAATGACTGGAAGGATTAAAAGGTTAAGATAAATCATGTAAGTGTTTAATGAAACTAGTTGTTACAATTTCGTTCGATTTACAGAAACTTTTGTGAAAACTTCAGGTTTGTAACGTTTGTGATCATAACCTAACCTTTTTCTATTTTCGGCTGCATTTTATATACATGATATTGTTGTCATATATCCTGTACGTAATAATGTTTCTGATTCGCTATGAGACATGATAAATCCACATTACCATCGCTATCATCAGACATTCCCTAAAATAAAAACATACCACATGCTTTACTAGACACCACTGGAAAATTATAACTATTAAAAACGATCCCAACAACGTCCATACGTGGTTTGTATAGGCTTAAACAGTTCCTGACCTATGCTATTCGACCGCAAACTTCACGTTAGGAACATTTGGTTGATGTGCTCCTGATCGATTGCTATGTTTTAAGAGATTACGAGATCACCTAAATCGGCGAACGGAATGAAAGATCAGCAACATAGCGACAAAACAAGTTAACTTTTCCGATGCGCCCCAGCTCCTCTAACTAGAGAGAAAAGACTTGGTTGAGATGAGGGAAAGGTATATTCCACAAGCAGCTAGAAACAAGAACAACAAGCACACAACTCAAGCGTATATATACAATATAAAATGCTCTTCGGAAACAGCACATTAAAAGAGGCAACCAACCAATGACATTTAGGGTCCTTTCATGTGGGAAATACAATCTGAAAGTAAAAATAGGCGCTTTTGGAGTGAAAACGAGAAATTCAAATTTCCAAGATAAGGTTACAAAAATAAGACTTTTACCAAGTGATTTTTGGGGATCTAGCATCCCCAACATCAATATAGTGGTACAGGTGGGAAACCTGGTAGACCATTTTCTCGAAGAGACACCCTATGAGGAGCAACAGCTATACACCTTGAACTCGGGTGAGAAGCGATTACAGTTGTTAACCGCCTGGAAACTTACGCGACAGGACATCGTCCCAATTCCTGAGATCTAAGAAATAACTAATGGGATCATATAAGCTAGGTGAGGTGGTTTCAAAACACAAGTAGACAATTTGAGACTTTATCTTTGCCTATGTTGACCCTGTTCATAAGCTGTTATAACAATCGTACGAAGGACTAATTTAGGTGACAGGCTTTGTTAACATGTTTCACCATCAACAAGAACGCCAAGATGAAGATTACTTACAATCACCGTATTTACTGACACAGAACAAGATAATGAGGTTGTCAGTGAGAAATTAATTTGTTTCCCCCTAGTCAACAAGACCTGATCCTATTCTCAATAATCCACCAACATTTTTTCAACAGTACTTCCTCCATCATGTACGATATTTGACTGACTGTATCGACTCCATACTCTTGTCTTTTGGTGTCACCTATATGTCTACTTAAAACAACTGTGGTTAAAAGTAAGACAACTAGAGATATTACATCCATATTCTAATTAAAGTATGTGCAAAAGGATATGAACTAAGGATCTAATTGTTTAAAACAAACCACTAACCAATAAATACATCAGGTTATTCGACAAAATCACAGAACAAAAACATAAATATTCAATTTATTCCACCCTAAAACTTTGCTTTGTTTCTTAATCTCTCACATAAAAGCGGTGTAGAACAGTTATAAATTTACAATCGACTGGATGTCCATTAGTCTATAATTAGATTAAAATACTCAGAAAAAGTAATGTACCCAATACTTGGAACAAAACTGTGAAACATTACATTATCTCTTTGGATAAGATATTAAAATAAGATGTAGACAACTGAAAAACACCAATATAAGGGAATAAATAGTTCAACATTTAATTCCAATGATAGATTTAATCAAAACTTACTCGTCTGATATCATTATTTTGGAATCTTCTGTACAGCCAAGATCAAATGTAACATGAAAAGACGGGTGACTTTGTTGTTCGTTATTAAGTATTGATTTAGTCATTTTTAGTGTCATACCTTGAAGTAATAACAAAGAATAGCATTTACAAACATTTTAAAAGAATAATTACTGAAAATATTTAATGAGAACACCATGTTTAAAAAAAAGCTTTGATACATGGGGTGTCCAGTAATTTCTATAATTTAACAATTAAGTAAAACCTTCAAATACACCTAGTCATACACAGATCAACTGAGAACATAGAGCATGAAATAACACATTAGTAGTACAATTATGTGTAGTGCAATGAATGTATAAAATAATAATATCCGGGAGAGATAACACAAACGGTATTAAGAGATTAAAACGAAATGGACGAATAACCAACAAATAAGTGTGAAGAATGTAACAACTAAAGGCTACCAACACAAATTCTCAAGCAAACAACTTAAAATTCCTAACCCTCAGTTAAAAGATGTAACATGTCACGGTGAGCTGTTGATAACTATATGTAACTCGATAAACAGTTAAAAGTACCAAGTACAGTAGAAAAGTATGGTTGTTGACTTTCAATTTTTTTTACCCCTGATGAAAAATGGATACCCATCTACATCCAAAATAGATATAATTGAGACTTATAACACCCGTTCTCTAAATAACTGATCTTTAACAATTATAAAATTTTTTTATAGAATTTACAATTAGTGATATAGCACACTATGAGTTTCATAGTGTACTTGAATTATTCACGAAAAATAAAGTATTACATTTTACTAGCAATCCAATGAATAAAAATATGAAATTACTAACAAACAGTTAGTTTATAGATCAATTCACACTAGATGTGAAATGATAAACATTCCTTATATAAATTAATCTTTTTTACATAAAATTACTCTTGTAGCTTAACTATTGATAAAAAATGGAGGATACAAGTAGCGTAGCATTATATTTCATTATTAAAGAAATATGGAATTTATTCGATGACTTTTTTTGAAAGACAAGAATCTGTCACATTGATCATGAAGCTAAATATTCCCGGGGAAAATGCCTAGATGGAAAATGTATACACAGTGAATACCATGTAAAATATGATTGATTTTATGGACATCTCAGCGCTTCATAAACTAAAATGTTTGTGAATGCCATCGATTGAACTAACTTTAGAACTTCAGTTTGTAATAAATAAAAGATCTATTACATTGTTGACAAGCAGATTTCAAGAAGGTTAGTCGAATTTAAAATTAACTATTACTTAGCTGACGGAGTCAATAAATATAGACCTACATTACCATATACTATTGATATTTAATAGGGGGTTAAATCTCGCGCAATTTACGTAAAAAGGTTATTAAATCAATAAATTTCAATTAAATAACAGGACGTTTAGATTAAGATGGATAGTGGTTAGCAGTGGAATTTAGGAGGCACATTTTGTCCTCTTTGAAACTTATCAGCAGTTGGATGTATTCGCCATATCCTAGTGTTAATGTTCACTCAAAGACTCGAACCAAATACTTTCGGCTTCAAAAATTTTGATCATGTTAAATTATTTATTTCGTTTTCCATACACTGATGATAATACATTAACCTCTTTTCCTTCTTATGCGATGATGTTCACTTATGAAAATATACATTCAGTAATGTCATAGCAATAGAGACAATGACCCAAACACTAGATGTTGCAGAAAATTCTTGGTATTTATTCAACATTAAACAAGCTGGATTTTATCATGTTCATTATGCTGACAATAATTGGGAACCATTGACAAGACAGTTGTATAAAGACCACCATGTAAGTAGTAACCGTTATTTGAAAAATTATTAAGATTAATCACCTCCAAAGCCTATACAAAGATAATTACATTGATTGTGAATTATCTGTTAATAGTTTATGGAATTGAGCTTGTATAGACGTCACAATAATCCATGATGTTGCATAACCCTTCATCCATTGTCTGAGGCGGGTAACTGATGATGCGCACTACTGAAAAGTCCCATACTACGACGAAACGGTCATCCAGTGCTCTCAGGTTTTCAGTGTTGGTCTAGCTTAGATTGACTCGTGATTTCGACTGTGAGAATAATTATTTGTTATTTTTATTCTGAGCCTCGATCAAATGTCAGATAATGATAGTATACTTGTTCACTCACAAAAAACTACATATTTTCTAATAATATATCATACATGGATTATTATATTACCACTGAATTTCATTGAACTAGTCTGATCACAAAAATTAAGATCTGTATAATGTCTTACAGCAAAGAAGATTGAAGTCACATATTCTACAGACCCTACTCAATATTACTATTGTTACTGAAACATAACGTTTCACATACACAATATAACTCCAAAGATCCTAACATAAAATTTTTTGTTGTGACAGATATAAATCAATTTGGATTGTATAACTCAATTTTCATTTCATTTTATGCAAGCATAAAGCAGTGAAATGTCGAATCACTTAAAGAACAACTGACGACATTGTAATTCAATTAACAATAAAGACTAAAGAATAAACATTCAATTAGTTACTACTACTCAGTGAATAATTGTTTAAAATGCAAATAATAAATTTCACTAACAATAATTGAATACCCACAGTTTCGTGAATACGATTTTCAGTTACACTTGTTGTTGCATGAAGATAGAAAATAGTGTTCGATTGCCAAAACTAAATTAATCAGAGAAATGACTGAAACTATAACTTAGTACGTAAAACCACCGACTGGCATTAGTCAGTAGATTTCTAAATCTAAGGTTAATTTACAAAACCACCGATGCTTTTAGAAAGTCATTAGAGTATTTTGATAAGGGAGATAGGCTAATTGAACATATAGTAAATTCATAATCATTTAACGCACATTTTATTAATACTACACAATTTCCACTCTTAATATATGATAGTGACTGTAGGATATGGAAGTCCGCGAAACAACTAAAATCAACAACAGAAAACTTAAACTGAGTAAGTCCAAGAACAAAGATTATGACTAGTCAACGAAATTTACTCGGCTTTATTGCAAAATGTATGAAATGTAGGTTTTGATAACTAAGAGTACCAGAGAATCTTGAAAAAGGATCTACTGTTCCAAGTTTTTGTATACCATATAAACATACTCAAATAAAACAAAATGGATAAAAAGTGCTTACCTATATCTTCAGTTTTCGCAGGCTACAATATAGAATGTTTAAAAGAGAGCGAAAGACAGGTATTTCAACTTACAAAACTTGTATAATACCGACCAAAGAAAACTTAAGGACATAATTCTATTAAGATAAACTAAATACTATTCAGAATTATTGCATATGTAAACTACTATTATTACTGATGGTGTAGTGATTACTATAATTATAAGACACATATCTATACGACCAGTTGTTGCATTTATCCTGACTCTTGAATCCGCCTACCCACATCGACTTTTTTAAAATACTGATATCAGATAAATAGTTCTTACAATTCAAATCAGTAAGACGAGAGAAAAAATGCACAAGCCAGTGAGAATAATTATACCAACAGAAGTAAAATATTAAAAGAATGAGAGATACTATTGAAGACGAAAACTGACGAATACATATGATTTTCAATATTTTGAGTAAATGGATCTCTGTAGCAGTGCTATTGATTTTGATTTACCTAACTTAGTATGAATACTGGTTGCAATATAATGATTTTATTTTGTAAAAGACAATCTATTTTCGAAAAACGTTTTTATATATTTGAATAGATCAGTCAGTCAGTCAGCTACAAATCAATTTTATAACGAGATAATTGTTTCTAAGGTTACTTTATATTATTATTATTATTATTATTATTATTATTATTATTACTATTATTATTATTATTATGTCGTTTTGTAATGATTGTAACAAAAAAATTAAATTGAACTACTAAAAGTACAAAAATTAAATAGAATATTTAAAATTTCATAACGTGTACGATTAGGTCGATATTACTTTTCAAGTAACCGAGTAGTCCATTTTTATAAGACTTGTGTTGTTCTTATTTCTAAATAAATTAACATCACATCTTTATTTACATTCAGAAAAATCTGAAGAAATCTACACGTACTATGCATAACCAATACACACATAAATAATACATGCTACATGATTGAATGACAATTTTAAAGTAGCTTGGCTATTAATACATTGATCTGATTTTGCATTGCTTCTTTGTATTTAAATACAAGCTAAAGTTATGATGACTGAATGATTCCATAGTAGAGAGAATGATGAGTCTCTACTTATAAAGCCAAGCACAGAAGACAAATAATTAGCAACACAATCAAGAACATTTTAAATCAAGATAAGACATCACTTTAAGAAGTCACTGGTTGTTGGTTTTTGTAATGTAGGTACTTAGGGAACGCGTAATTACCGTAATTAATTGTAAGAGATATGGCTAAGAACTGGTCTCAATGACAGATGCACTCACTCTTCAATCTCTCTTAGATCTTGAGCTTTAAAATTACCTTATATCTTTTTATTCCGCAAATTAATTCTTCCTCATATTATATTGTCTATCCTTAATGTTTCCTACTACCACTGATATTATTATTACAACTTCTACTACACTGAGATTTCGCTTGATAGTTTTATCTATGTTAATACATGTAGCAAACTGAACCGATGCACAAGTCCTACGTTGCTTATGATTGACTGAATTAAAGAGAGCGTATAGCACACTTATAGTATTTGGCAGAAAATGTTAAATAGGTAGTATTTGTAGGATAGATAGTTTAAGGAACACATTTTGTACCTCGATCACGTCATTTTAAATAATCTACTACATTCTTGCCAATTAATAATGTCATTATTAAATATTTAAAAATGTAAAATAACTAACTAACCTGAAGATCGAAACCTAACTTAAGAAATTTAAGACCTTGTTCGGTAATATGATCCGGATGACTAGAAAGCCAGCTAGTATAATTGGATAAATTAGACGTTGATGTTTGTTTATCTATGAACAATTGTCGACAATCTGTAAGTGATGTTCGAAGTAAAGCTAATTCATCATCTTCAAGTTTATTATAATCAATGTCCTGGTCTTTATCATGTATGATGTGAACATCATGACTATCTCTTTGAAACGATGTGTGACCATAAGACACTTCATCTTCGGAATCCTTGGACAACGGCATTCCTGATAAACGACGATAAAGTCTATAACTGACTGCTTCGGCTGAATCTAAAGAAGTTGATGTTAAAGTAGAAGGTAACCAGGCAGGAATGCGAGTCAAATATTCAGTCTGAATTAAGGGAATATAACAACACAAATAAAAGTTAACAAGGAGAATATTATGAACTATTTGTACTAAAAAATAAAAAGTGTTGCTGTACTTTAGTCTATTAAACGCAAACATGTCATAAAACTTTGCTCAGACAAAAAGTCTAATGAACTAAAAAGAAGCATAAAATAAATTGCTTAAAATTAATATTATTCATCGTATATGATATAGAAAAGCATAATTTGATGATAACTAGTTATATGTACTGGATATCCATTGAAAACCTGGAAACACTGAACAACCGTTTCGTTCTAGTATGGGACTCCTCGGTAATGTACATCCATGATTTCGCACGCAGGACTCAAATCTACGAACTTCGATCTCGCGCGCAAACGGCTATTAATTAGTGTAAGACCATAAATCTGTAAACAATCACGATATATAGGTTTATTAATATTAACTTATCAAACTAGCTCATTGAATAACATCACATATTTATATTCAATATCAATTCTTTAAATCTACAAGAGTTAATACAGCTGTCCCTTGTCTCTTAAGTACAATTTATTTACTTTTAAATACGCAAAAGATAACTGTATAAGACTCAAAATAAAAACTATAAGAATAACATTCATCAAATACAAACATATAAAATCGAATTTATGCAACGAATTTTATGAATTCTATATGTCAAATATTCAGAAAATAATACATTATCAAAAAGAATAGGTTATAGATATAAAGCTTCAATATAATAAGTAAATTTGGCTTTACCTCTAACCAACTTGGTTTAGTATTTTCAGAATCGGAAACACATAAATGTTCATCAGATATACGATGAACAAAACGTGATGATGAAAGATCAACCCGAGCTTTAGATATATTTTCATTATATAATGTAAGATCGTTGGTATCTGATAAGGTAAAACGTCGAGCGGATTTGAAACCTCCCATTTTACCTGAAATCTAAAAACATATGACTGTTATGAGTACGTTATGTAGGTTGAATATCTTCTCAGCAAAGAATATATATTTTATTGTTCAAAAACGAATTTGTGTGGTATCGAGTCATTAAAGAAAAAATAGTAATTAATATAGTTTTAATTTGAACATAATGCATTAAAAACAAATAAATCTTTCTAGTTTCATGGAAGTGACCATAATAATTTAGTACAACGAATAAGAAAACAATACTGAGAAATCAATAAACTAGCTTGATGAATATCAAACTAGGTACTTGAAAGGTTCTGGATTGTATTTAAGAAATTGATAGTTAGTTGAAATATTATTGAAGAAGAAAGCCGGATCGCTCTATAAACAACAACGTGAACTTTTTTATTTTTGATCAATATAAAAAACTTTTTACAGAGAATATTTCTTTTATATTTATTTGATTTTATATAAGAAAAGGTAAAGAATACTATAAAACTTTAAGACGAACATTTAAAAAAACTAAGGTTCATTAAGTAAAGAAAAATGAAGCTTCAAAAGTAAAATGAACTATAATCCTCCGGGGTTAGTTTCTATATGACCTGATTAGAAGATGTAGACAACCAAAATGATTCAAAATGTTAAGGTAATCACTCATGACTGGAATTACAAAGATATAACTTTATAGGAATATTGTACAGAATTAAATCTAAGGACGATTAACTATAATTACAAATACATTCACTTCAAAGAAATAAATGTCAAGAACATATTCGTTGCTTGATCATTAAGATTAGTTTGACTGCATAATGGTAACTGATCATCCAATTTGTATTTAAAAAGGAAATATCATTAGCATTGTACATAAGTATCTACAAGACATAGCTGATAGATATGACATTTAGTGGGATTAAAGATAATAGATTCTCAAAGAAACAATGTTAGTTCGGTAGATTTTATGAATAAAATTAATGTGTGGAGATTTAGATGGTGGTTGGAAGTAGTCAACAGGATACTCTGGACCCGGGTTTCGTGCTACTTGGCACTCGTCAGCAAAGTGTACCTGTAATCTTGAGGGAACTGGTGCTCCCTGACGATACCACTGAGCTATCCGAGACGCGACTGACCTCCTGTAGGACTGAGATGTAATCACCCAGTGATCAATCAATTGTGATTACATTTCAGTCCTACAGGAGGTCAGTCGCGTCTCGGATAGCTCAGTGGTATCGTCAGGGAGCACCAGTTCCCTCAAGATTACAGGTACACTTTGCTGACGAGTGCCAAGTAGCACGAAACCCGGGTCCAGGGTTTTCTGTTGACCACCTCCAACCACCATCTAAATCTCAATATATAGTGCCCGCAGTGTCGAGTCACCTAGACTGGTGGCCACATTGCAATATGATCGATAGCATTCGATCTGCACTAATAAGGACTAGACAAGCATGACATTGATCACCACCCAGTGATAAATCAATTGTGAACTTAATGTGTAAATTAAATGAACTTACTGCTTTTATTGCTGAACTATTACCTTGAACCATACTCGCAACACGTCTGGTTTGGTGTGACTTCAACCACATTGATTTCGGTGTAGGTGTTTGTGTACCAACGGCAGATTTAACAGTTTTAGAAGTTTTTCTAGTTTCATACCAAATACTGGTCCATAAACTATTTAGTAAGTCCAGTGATGGACTATCATTTGCTTTTAGAGAGCTTTGGCAAAAGGATCTCAGAAATTCACATCGTTCATGAGGATTTAAAGGTAAAAGCCACTTCTTCAGAGAAGGAATGATATCTTTTAGAGCAAATTCAGTAGCATTCCTCACCTTATCTTTCAGATCCGATGAACACTGAAAATTAGAAAAAAACGAAGTACTAAACATGAGATTTGTAGAATGTGGTGAGGATAAACCTATACTGTTAAAAGCAGAATTATTTTGCAAGGTATTTATTGATTCTTGACTTATTATTGGCAAAAATACTTTTTTTAATAAAAGTAGAACATGAATATCTACAAGTTAATTTGTTCGACAGATATAACAGGATAACACAACAGTAAATATTATTCAACAAATATCTAACGATGGAGGCATGAAAGATACACTTATCTTCCAAGAACCTATTCCGCATTCCAAAGAATCAAGGGAAAAAAACACAACCAACATTGGAATAGGACTATGGACTTCAGATGACACTGGTCTTCATTTGTCAGCCACTTCTGATCATTTAGATGAAGAATCACTAAACTACATCAACTCAAAAACACATTCCATTTAAAACTAGCCTAAACCTCTATAGTAAAAATCCATGCGCAATTGTCTACTGAACTACAGTCTAACACTTCATTACTGATTTTAGGTTATTATCCTTTCCATTAGATCTTTCTGAAATGTTTGTCGAAAAACGCGTGATGTAAAATATAACTTGTAAGACCCAGTTTCAAAGTCCATCCTAAAAATGCGTGATTTAGAACCATCGTGTTGACTACCAAATACTGTGTTCACGTACAACACAGATAACTAAAACTTTCATGCCCTAAGTGTCAGACAAAGAAATACCTCCTTTTTATTAGCAGTTCCGTATATAGCTGAACTTCAGCAAAATGGAAATAAGATGAAAGCTTTCTTAGTGAACTGTTTTAAAGAAAATGTAATTAACATCTTGGACTTCAGAAAACTTCATATACATAATCTAGTGAGCACGTTACAGCCTTTTACTTTGAATCATTTGCATACTGACAAGATGTAAGATGAAAACACAATAGCATCTTTAATGTATACATATGCCGAATGGCCAGAGACTTATTAAGGAACGCAATTCCTATCGTTCAATTCTGGACAGAATCTGTTACCCAGATTCCAACTGTTTTCATTATAATTTTGAAAACCAGTAATGAAATAAAATGTTGACGTCAGTAAAAATACTTTCACTTTCTAAAACTATATTCCCAAAGCAATGCGTTTGTGCATTAAATTAATAATTTGTAACCCCGACTTCAACGGCGATGAACAAGACTGGCTCCCATTACTTTCTTACTTGTCGCTAACTAAAGACAGGTTGAACTTTTTCATGAACTTTAATGATAGATACTCAAGAGGATTTAATAACCTCTGATACTCGTTAGCAATGTCACTGATTGTCATCTTTAGGTTTTGATCAAAACGGCTCGAAAGCTGTGTTCGAATATCAGCGACGTTTTGCGACTACAAGCTCCAAATGATAATTAACGGTTCGAACTGGCAGCTCATCAGCAACTATGGTTGTAATCAATCACATTGGGGAGTTATAGTGTAAATCCAACTGATTCCCTTAGTTGACAACTGAGAATAATGAACCCTTAAACTTAAGAACTCATCCCTTACTGTTCTTGCACAATGGAATAGACCAAAAAGTCTATCGAATTCCACCAAGTAGACTTACTTAGTGGTAACCATTAAAGAAGTAATCCTGACGTTAGGCGCATAATTTAAGACGAAAATGAGATGTGTCATCGATAAGACTTTAAACATTCATGTGTCAGTATGGTTGAGATATGTGTTATGATGCTCTGAAGAAAATTCTGTAGATAATCCGGTTGCTAGAGATTGAGTAAAGTAACCTCTCAATTACTCCGACGATTGATTCGAACAGTTTGTTAATCCATTGCTCTTAACTTTCTTATGCAATAATGTCGCGGACACATAACTAGACCAAAAATGGTTTAGTCTCGATAGTTTACACAGTACAGTGTATTCACCACAAAGCATGCTTTGACGAACACTGAATCAACTGAAATACTTGAGATAGAGTTCATCTAGCCAGTTATACTGGGACATTGGTTGCAGATAAGTATCTTAGAAGAACTAGGTCTACAAATAACTATTTTATGTACAATCAATACTCCTTACAAACTATGCACTATATTAGTTAATGTTGAAGAAAACTGACAACTGACCCACACCTAAAGTTACTTGACAGATCTTGTGATAGGTGTATAAAACTCTTGTTAGCGTATTTGAAATGACTGAGCACAACAGTTTCATCGATGTTCTGTAAGAAAAAAACAGACTGATTTGTTGTGGAATAAATACCTTACACACAGTGTACTGAGACGGTTAGGTGAATGAAATTCATTAAAAGACATGTCACTGAGTTTGAATATTGTCGTGGAATCATTTGGTAAGAGCTATTTCTAAGTAACCCTAGTTCAGAAGTAACCTTACACTCACAAAACTACATGTTATCTTAATTCTGTAAATCTACAAATAAAATTTCGCCATTAAATATTAAAGAAATTTAATGTATTTAACAACCTTAAAATAATTGGGAGATTTAAATACTTCTCATTTAAAGAAGTATGAGATCAGAGAGAGGAAGGATATAAACTGAATTTATCCCAACTTTGATGAAAACCCTGGTTAACAAAGTGAAAACTCATTTGATAAAGAAATGGAACAATAGTCCTAGAAGTGTTTCCCCCAACACTTATTGTAGATAACTATGATAGTTAGCTATTGTACATTTATATCATTTACAGGAAATTTATGTTATCTGGATACCATGATGTTCTCAAAACAATAGTGATTCCCTATTTTCACATCCGATCGAAAGGTTATATTTTTTGGATGATTAACGTAACATATGTCAGAATTTATGTTAACTATAATTTATAGACTATGACATAAATCTTTCATTTGAAAAAACCTTGTTTCCATTCGCTTCTCAGCTTTCTCGCCTAAACTATATTCATATATTTAGCTTATATGTAAATAATTATTTGAACAATTTTTTTTATTCTTTTACAATTATTGTTTACAATCCAAATTTAATCAAAACTTTTCTTATATATTTTGACTTGAATAATTTATACTACTATTTCTGGATTTGTAAGCACGTGAAAAAATCCACAAAATTAATCCATTTGTATTGCTCTATTAAGATCGTTGTTCTTGACTTTATTGAAATCCATAAATGAGAAAGACTATAAAATATACAAATCTCTTGAAATAATTCTGTATGTAATTAGACTTTAACGTTTCACATACATAACTCTATCCAACATTTTATAGACTAGATGTCAGACAGTCAGATAATACAGTTTTTAAATTGATAATGTAAGATTTTCAGTTCGTTGTATGATTTCGTATGTGATTAATAAGTTGCTTAATTTTATGTACTCAAACAATATCCATTCATTTGAGATCATGAATAAAAATATTATTTAATGTATTTGAGTACACAGTTTAATATATTTATTTCTTGATAAATAGCTTTCAGAGGATAAAAGTCAGTACAAAAACAATACTTTTTATCGAACCATTGAATCACTATACATCAAATCAGTAAGATAAAAGAATAAATAATTCTGTAAGTTGAAATACAAAGGCAAAAGACGTCTTCAGGGTTTTTTTCGGAAAGAGTAGGTTGGGTACTAATTGTTTATTTGGCTACATCAAAATAGACCCACCTTGGGAGTTGTATCAAGTGAATGTGAACTCTTAGTATTTGTTGAAAAGATATTGTTGTTTGTGTCTGACTCCATAACAACATTGTTACAATCATCATTATTGTCGATATCATTTTTGGGATTGTTATCGGAAGTTCCAGTATCACTTGGAGACCCCAATTGCTGAAGAAACTGTACCAATAAAGGTAGTAGGATTTTACGTGTCATTCTGACATTATTCACAATTGCTATAAAATGACTGAAATCAGGGACAGACTGAGGAAGTAAATCTAGATCAAGCTTCGGATTCAGGAGAAATTTAATCAGCTATAGTAAATAGGAAAAAATAAATAATGAATAAAAGTAGAGTTAAGTGTAAAAGATTTAAGTTCAATTTGACAATTCAAAAGCAATTAACCCTTATCGTTATTTTATTGGTGGTAATCATTTAATAGCTTCTTCGTAGTTTTGTACACAATGAATTACTGAAATTAGCAGCCTGACATGACTACACACCCTACACTTTAAAAATAACCTTGAACTGACAGCTAATCGTGAATATCTAAATGAACTTAAGTATTAACCTAAGAAACTTTATAGAAAATGGAAGCGACAGAAATTGTAGTAATGTAATGTGGTAATTGACAATAAGAATTGTTTAGTTCTCTATGACATTCGGTTGTAAAAACTTGACTAGCAAATTATGTTATTACATTAAGACTTTTATGACTTGAATAGGTTTTATCATAGACAAATTCCAGTACCTTACTGACTGACATGGATTGTATAAATAATGACCTACAGCATGAAACTTTGGTAAACGAAAGTGAACTAGATTTCAAAAATGAGAAATAACTCACTAATTATTTTCATTCAATTTCTTCAAATAAGTACTTTGAAACAAAATAGAAGGGAGTTGAATAGGGCAATACATTAAACACATCAAATTATTGGGCATAAAATCTGTGGCAAACAGCTGAAAAAATTATCTTGCCCATTTTCAGTATTAAGGTCGAAAAGTTCTGTGAAAATCAGTCAACAATAATATGTTTTCACACTTAGATGGAATGATAAGTACTCTCCGTAGAAAGTAAAAAAATAATAAATATATCACAATAAAACCTATGAAACAGAACATGTAGGAGTATAAAAAATAATCCTAGTACTGATGAGAAATACTTCCTAATATTGGTTTAAAGTGTTATATTTAGTAAGTTTAAAATAAATTACATTAAGTACAAACTCCCTATACATAGTTCCACAAATAAACAGACGAGAATTAATGAGATGAAACTAAACGTAAATACTTGCATCACTATAACGTCCAGCAGGAAAATTCATATTATACAAAATCAGAGCTCTTCTTCGAAAAGTTGTCAACTCCGATGAAGGTATCGATGAACTTTCCGATAAGGGATAACCAACAGTAAGACAAACAAGTAAATTGGCATTGTATTTAGCACATATCTGATTGGCTGCTTCAGTAAAGTCAGGAGAATTAATTAACACCTAATGAAAGAAATAACAGCCTAAAATTTAGCTTTACAATAGGGGATTTGAATAAAAACTTTATGATTAATAAAGCAGAAAATTTCACGAACAGAACGAGTTTATTTGAGAGTATTATTGACGAAATGTCTGGAAAAATAGTGTAACCTTTATCTGTCCAAATCAAAATAGGCAGAGAATGTTTCGAACATACAAATCAGTATTATGAAGTCAAATGACTTGAACATCGAAGTATTATTCTTATTTATTGAATGCCAACGTGATGCAAATATCATACACCTCCAAGTTCCATATAGCACTTTCTTGTTAATATGAAAGTATAACAGGTAGATGGAAACTGAACCAACTTAGTCGCGTATTGCCTCATTGGTCCTTAGTCATTTCGCAAACATTTTATATCTAAAAATGTTTTGATTTCACCATTAGTGGCATTTCTCCAGAATTTAGGAAAAAACCGCTTTCAAATTAGAATTGACAAATCTTGGAGACTTAACAAACTTTAAGCAAACTTTATTGAGCACAAACAATTATTGACGACTTTCAATGCACTGTAATCCACTAAACAGGATTTATGAATTCTCCCACTCTTAATTAAAATCTATAGTTCAATGCAACCATGCAAAGTAAAATGGACTCTAACAAGTAAACAGACCGATAAAAATTGATGAACCATTGGAAACCAAAAAGTACCGACCAGATGTTTAGTTTTAGTATGGGATTCCATATCTAGTCCTTATCCAGACCAAGATGAAGACTAACTCTGAAATGAACAATCTCCACAAACTGCTTATGTTGCCAAGATGTGTTCCCATTAATGACCTAGCTTTAAGAAGTATTCTCGAAGTTTTAAAGGAAAACTGATTGATTAAGTCAAGTGAACTTAATCCTTGTATCAGAATGCAGACAGATGGTTATGAAATATTGTGAAATGAATGTGGTTAAAAATGTAGACCACTAAACTAAAAACGACAGGCCCAAAACGTATTGCGCTTATCGCAAAACGTAAGTCTTCAGTTTAATTCCTGGCATGATTTTAAGTGACTACTAAAGAGTTCCAAACAAGAGGTATCTGTCCAGTATCATGTCTTAGTTTTCAATGATTCTGTAACTGATGTTCGTGAGTGGTGGAAGCCAAACCCCAATGGAAAATACGCTTTACATCAATTAAATAAACTGACTGCTTATTGTTTATCATTCAAAAGATAAGAATACTTTGTAACAGTTCTAAATGTAAACCCATAAAAAGGCTTAAACTGATAGACAACTACCAGTTGGCACTAATAAACACTGTCATTCAACTCACAGCTTACCGTAAAATCAACTCCAGATACAGTAGAGCACACAAATTGGAACGCATCTTTATTTGGACTAGAAACAATTTTCATATCACGACGTAATAAATTCCATGTAGATAGCCCTGCACAAAGATAATTTATAAATAAAAATGAACAATTATAGAATTAATCGTAACTACGGCTTATATGTAGGGAAAATTTGGGATTTTCCTGCATTTATTTAAAATTGGTTTTAATTTTTATTAAAGTGTTTTGTTGTGAAGTTTTATTGCACCAACATATTAACACTAGACCTTATATACTTTACACATAACCATGTAGTAATTATATTCTCTTCAAAAGTAATGATGACTAAATGATCTTGAACAATCATCTACTGATTAATGCTACAAATTTAAATACATACGGGCTTAATTCCAATATGAAATATTAAATTACAGTTTTTCAAATCTTCACCCAATAAGTCTAGTTAAGTTTAACATGAAATGGACAAAACGATTGAACTAATAATTCAAAAGTATTTTATCAATGCAAATTTGCTTAGATTATACGATACAACAAGACAAATCAGTGTTGTGATACAAGCATAAAAAAGACAAGTCTCTGAGGTTTAATACACACAGGATGAGTTTACACGAGTTAAAATACCACTCAGACATCAGTGTGAAATAGAAGGATTCCATAATAAAACTGACAAGTACTAGTCAGAAATAAATAAAACAGAACTATCCTTTATTTTCAACTCCGCCTGTAGCTCTTCCTGAGTTACTGCCGGTCCCAAGCCCGGGTAAAGGAGGAGGGTTGGGCATGGGGTTAGCGTCCCCATCCCGTAGAAAACTAACTCGCTAAAAAACGCTAACCAGAAAAAATTATTCAGACCATTTTAACTCTGCCCTAGGAGTTAGAAGGTCTTCATTTAGAAGAGTTATGACGCCTCATGGTGAAAGCCGATCTCCTTCGGAAGCCACGAGGCCGATGCCCCTTCTAACAACCAGAGCAAAAATTTTTATAGGTACATGGAACGTTCGAACAATGTGGGAAACCGGGAAGACCAGTCAAATAGCAATGGAAATGACGAGATACAACTTAGCAGTACTGGGAATCAGTGAAACCCACTGGACCCAAGCTGGACAGAAAAGGCTAGCTACGGGAGAGATGCTGCTATACTCCGGTCACGAAGAGGAAAATGCTCCACACACTCAGGGAGTTGCTTTAATGCTGTCCAAAGTAGCACGAACTGCACTTGTAGGATGGGAATCCCACGGATCCAGAATCATCAAAGCATCATTCAAAACAAAGAAGGAGGGGATCACGATGAATATTATCCAATGTTATGCACCCACCAATGATAGCAACGACGACATTAAAGATCAATTCTACGAGCGGCTGCAGTCAATCATAGAGAAGTGCCCAAGAAAGGACCTCATCATTCTGATGGGAGATCTAAATGCCAAGGTCGGAATAGACAACACCGGATATGAAGATATCATGGGACGACATGGACTGGGTGAGAGAAACGATAATGGGTGGAGATTTGCAAATATGTGTGCATTCAACAAATTAGTCATAGGTGGCACAATATTTCCACACAATTGTATACACAAAGCTACATGGATCTCACCGCACCACACCACAGAGAACCAGAGAGATCATATCTGCATCAATAAAAAATTCGGAAGGACAATGGAAGATGTGAGAACCAGGAGAGGTGCTGACGTAGCTTCAGATCACCACACCACCTAGTTGTGGCCAATGTAAAACTAAAGCTGAAGAAGAACTGGACAACTGGACAAACAGCACTAAAAAAGTATAATACAGCATTCCTTCGAGATACTGACAGACTCAACGAATTCAAACTAGCTCTCAATAAAAGGTTCCAAGCCTTACAGGATCTACTGAAGGAAGAAGAAACTACTATGGAGGACAACTAGAAAAGTATCAAAGAAGCATTAACTTCAACGTATCAAAAGGTTCTGGGTCTAAAGAAGCACGATCATAAGGAATGGATCTCTATAGAAACACTGGACAAGATCAAAGAAAGGAAAAACAAGAAAACAGCAATTAACAACAGCCGAACACGAACAGAGAAAGTCCAAGCAGAAGCAAACAAACAAGTGAAGAAAGACATTAGAGCCGACAAGAAATACGTGGAAGAACTAGCAACGACGGCGGAAAACGCTGCAAGAGAAGGAAATATGAAACAACTTTACGATACAACGAAGAAACTATCAGGGAAATACAGTAAGCCCGACAGACCGGTCAAAGACAAAGAAGGCAAGCAAATCACTGAAATTCAACAACAGCGTAACAGATGGGTAGAATACTTCGAGGAACTCCTGAATAGGCCGGCTCCAATGAATCCACCGGACATCGAAGCAGCACACACAGATCTTCCAATAGACGTCAACCCACCAACGAAGGCAGAAGTCAGGATGGCTGTCAGACAAATCAAGAACGGGAAAGCAGCAAGACCGGACAACATACCAGCTGAAGCACTGAAGTCAGACATTGAAGTAACTACAAACATGCTTCACCTTCTATTCAAAAAGATTTGGGAGGAGAAACAAGTACCGATGAACTTGAAAGAAGAGTACATCGTCAAGATGCCAAAGAAAGGAGATCTGAGCAAATGTGAAAACTACAGAGGCATCACACTACTGTCAATACCAGGGAGTCTTTAACAGAGTGTTGCTGAACCAGATGAAAGATTCAGTAGTCGCCCAACTTCAAGATCAATAGGCTGGATTCCGTAAGGATCGGTAGTGCACAGACCAGATTGCAACACTACGGATCATCGTTGAACAATCAGTTGAGTGGAACTCGTCACTGTACATCAACTTCATGGATTATGAAAAAGCATTTGACAGTGTGGATAGGAGAACGTTATGGAAACTTCTTCGACACTACGGAGTTCCTGAGAAGATTGTCAATATTATCCGGAACTCATATGACGGACTACAGTGCAAGGTCGTGTATGGAGGACAGCTGACAGATGCAATCCAAGTAAGGACCGGAGTCAGACAAGGCTGTCTACTCTCTTCCTTCCTCTTTCTTCTGGTGGTCGACTGGATTATGAAGACCTCGACATCTGAGGGAAAACACGGAATACAATGGACAGCTCAGAATCAATTAGACGATTTGGACTTCGCAGATGACCTAGCCCTCCTATCGCATTCACACGAACAGATGCAGATGAAGACAGCCAGTGTAGCAGCAGTCTCTGCATCACTAGGCCTCAGCATACACAAGGGGAAAACCAAGGTCCTCAAATTCAAAGCGGAGAACAGCAATCTAATCACTCTTGATGGCGAAACTCTGGAAGATGTAGAATCCTTCACATACCTGGGAAGCATAATCGATGAACAAGGAGGATCAGATGCAGACGTAAAGGCAAGGATTGGCAAAGCAAGGACAGCATTCCTACAGTTGAAGAACATATGGAATTCAAAACAACTTTCAACCAATATCAAAGTAAGAATCTTCAATACGAATGTCAAGGCAGTTCTACTGTACGGAGCTGAAATTTGGAGAACTACAACAACCATCATCAAGAAGGTGCAAGTATTTATAAATAGCTGTCTACGCAAGATACTCAACACCGATTGGTCGGATACCACCAGCAACAGCCTTCTGTGGGAGAGAACAAGCCAGCTTCCATCTGAAGAGGAAATTAGGAAAAAACAATGGAAATGGATGGGAGATACGTTACGCAAATCATCAAACTGCATCACGAGACAAGCCCTAACTTAGAATCCTGAAGGAAGGCGGAAAAGAAGGCCAAAGAACACATTGCGTCGGATAATAGAAGCAGATATGAAAACGATGAATTACAACTGGACGGAGCTAGAAAGGATTGCCCAGGACAGGGTTGGATGGAGAACGCTGGTGAGCGGCCTATGCTCCTTCACGAGGAGTAACAGGAGTAGGTAAGTAAGTAACCCTTTATCTTCAGATCTCACTCTGTTATAAGTAGTAGAATAAATTAGATTATTAAAAAAACTAAAGCCATGTGACTAAAAGGAATTAAGTAATACATCATTTCAAGTGGCCGCAGTTAGTCAGACGTTTTTACGTCGTGCATCAGAAAACAGATAACATCTCTACTGTCCCATATTTTATCCACCATGAACCAGTTTCCTGCGTGTCGATATAGTCTCACATAGTATTCAGATGAGAAATGGTCCGGGATATATTTTATTTATGGGACATTGATAGGGCCAGATTCAACTACTAGTGGTATTTTCGTTTTGCACCTCGTATTGGTCTAGAAGTTTGCTAAAGGGTTGTTCGATACTTGTGAGGCAAATTAGAATTGTCATATAACATCACTAGTAAATACTGCAACGATGCTGAAATTTTTAAAATTACACTAATATTTATCAATACTTGGCAGAGACGTAGGGTTTATTATTTTATTTGAACACATAAATATTGGTACAAGAGGGCACCAAATATATATGCATATGAGACTACCTAATGACATAATAAAGTTTATTAGACCGGATAATATGTAGTCATAGCTTGTTAACAAATTCCCAAGGTGTACTGATCCTGCAGGTAGACTCTGGAGGATTTGTCCCAAGCTCCTAATTTTGGGGAAACCTTGGGGAATTCTGGGTAAATTTTGGAGTTTTCCCTAAAGTCGTAAAACTTTTGGTAGTTCTCCACGAAGTTGGGCGAAATCTTGGGGATTTTCCTGGGGAAATTTTGGTGTTTTTGTACTTTTCCCCCAAAATATTTTATTGCAGCTCCCTCAGAATTTACGAAAAACGTTTTTCGTTATCTGTACAGATAAGTTTTTTTCGGAAATAGCGAAATCGGGATGAAGGGACTAACAAGGTTGTGTAGTAGTTTCCGTTTCCAAAATGGACTGTTTGTACCATCATAACTATTGTCAGCCACACACGTACGTACGAAGTTCTACGTTGTTACTGACTGACTGACTGACTGACTGACTGACACACGTATAATAGTTAATGTCTGGGTCAACTTTAGGTCATTCATTTAAAAAGTATTTTGCAAACTCCAGAATAGTCTTGAAACTACTAACTTTTGACACATGTAAATGACCCACTTGTTGTGTTAATGTCACTGCAGTGACATTGAAGTCATGGCATTATTGTATGTCAACTGTTTTGAAATGTATAGTGATACAAATGCCCTGGTACGGCCAAGGGTGGGGAAAGTCCACTCCCTCTCGAAATGCTCTCATATGGCCACGCGTATATAGCCTCTGCCAGGGAAGTCCTACTCACTGCCTTCTCATGGTGAGGGTGTTGTTTACAAAATTGAGAGGATGAAAAGCGAACGTTCGGCGCTTTAACCGGGTCGGTGGACACGGAGAGTCCACCTAGGGTTTGGAAAACCTTGATTCTAAACCAATGGTTCACATGGGCTCCAATATCCTGAAGGAACAAATGGCGTATGAACCGATTGTTGGTCATAGGACTGCATTTCCTTACGTCGCTTCACTTCCTTGTGGATCAGACCTTTAGGTCAAAGGCTTCGGGTGTGGTCCCCTGAGAAAACCACCTGCCTCGGTTTTGCACCGGTGCAGTATTACGGCCCTCACATATATCAAATGAGATCTGTGTGGCGCATATGTATTTGATGCCTTCTTGTACCAATATCTATGTGTTAAAATAAAATAAATAAATATATATTCACACGATTACTGAAATTAAGATGAAAATACATAAAAAATCGTTCCAGTATTTTGTACGGTGTGATGAGAACTCCTTATCGTACCAAACATAAAGTACTGAATAAGCCGATTATTATTAACATCAGTCAATACAATAGAAACCCTTAAATATTGAGCTTGATCAACACAAGGCATCTATTTACATCCCTCGATCTAACATTTAGAATATGTCGAATAAAGGATATACTCACAAGATAAATGTGCTGAATGCCTATTATTTTGATCAGATCTTTTGATTGCAAATCGAGTTTGTCAATATCAGCTAAGACGTGCATAATCGTGACAAAAGTATCAAGAAATTTTAATACATTGTTTATACCACCCAACTGTGGAATATGTATTCAAAAAACTAACAGCAAATTATCGTCTAAAATCAAACAGATTAACTTCATGAGATTCCTTTTGTAAACAACATCTGCAAACTTAACTCTTTTGAAATTATCTGATATTTTAAGAACTATAAAAGTTTGGTACTTTCAAAAAGTACAGAAATAATTTCTGATTGTTATATTTGAGCACTGAACTCTTATAATTAAGAATCGCACAACAAGCCCATCGTAATGAGTCCAAAATGTCCTAGTTGGTTTATCAACTTAAGCTACTATGTTAATGGCCTGATCATTATCACCATTTACAAGCCTATATAACGATAGTGTAAACAGTCATGTGTCCACTTAACCGCTAAGAGCTAAGTATACTATTTAGTTGATTATAAGATATGCTGAACGATTCTTTCTGAATACTTTGCATCAAATGATTTGATCAGTGAATAACCTGTGTATCTAATAATAATATTACCATCAACAGTAAATTTTGCTGTTTCCAGTTGAGTAAATAAGGAATTTCTTGAAACATTTGGAGTGAAAATCTGATTGTAAATGATATCTTCGATACGATTAGCCATGCGAAGATCTAATTCTGTTAATCGTCCAGCCATTTGACCAGCATTAGAAAGTCCGATTGTATCAATAAGTATGGCACCTATAAAAATGTAACATTAAGTACATATACATTTTAAAAGTACCATAAAGCAACTTCCATACATTGCTTGGTAAATAATTACCATCCATTCCTTTCAAAATTTCGAATGTGATTAGAGTGGCACAGGATCCGACAAGATCAATTTGCTTAAAAGGACAATTTTCAACGGTTTCAGTATTAACTAACTGATGATGATCAATTATTTCAATGGTTGGCCATTCACTAAACTTTTTCGTTGGTAAATGATGATCAACTAGAATTAAAAATAATTCATTTTCATTCACTTTTGAATAGGTTTCATTGAAAACATCATCCAGATAAATCAGCTCTTCCCATTTGAGACCACATTGAGTAAGCCAAAAGGTAACTTCAGTGCGCAAAACCATATCCTCTCTATTGATACTACATACAGGTATAACAATGAACTCATTTTCAAGCTTCTACATAAATATATGTAAGAGAGGAATAAGTAATTCAACTTACCGTTTGTTTATAAAATCCATAGGCAAGTGCACATGCTGTACTATCTAGATCACATGCTTCATTTCCAACAACAAGAATCCATTTACTTTTACAACTTGAATGCTAAAAATATCGAACAATAATAATTATCTTAAATCAAATCGAAATTTAACTATCGTGTTCAATAATACAAACAAAGAATAACTCACAAGGGCTTCAGCTGCATGACGTAAAAATGAATCCATTGCATCACATATTCAACATGAGACTAAAATTGATAAACAGGGATGATTAGTTGAAATGAAGGTTCCACGTTTAAAATAAAAGGACAAAGGCTCGCATGGAAATGAAAAGAGAAAAAAGCTTCGGAATACGGGTAATCACTAAGAACAATAATTTGGTAAGAGTGGGACGACAATACCGTTTTTATGGGAAGTTTAAAAAAGAACAACTTGTTTTCAATTAGAACAGTCAGGTATATCAAATTTATGTGATAATCTAGGATACAAACAACCCCATTTGAAAGCTGGCTCTTGATAAAATCGCCAAAAGACTAAAGCCGTGTAAGGAATATTTTTTTGAATCGATGAGGTTTTAAAAAAAGTTCCATGTCGATTTTGGTTGTAAATTATTAATCTTTTATACTGTATTTGCAATTGTGTTGAAGCTATTCAATCTAGCTACATTACGATAATAATCGTGAAGTTTGTGGGATATAAAAGCCTCGGATAGATATCATTCTTAGGATTCGTTTTAGGAATCGCGTCCTTTAATACGATGAAGATTTTCAGCAGTCATGTCTTAAGAATTATACTTTACCAGACACCAATCATTAGGTCTGATCAGAAACGTAGAAAGTATAAAACATTTAGTCGCATAAATAATGTGTCCCACCTAATTCATTTGATGCAAGTTTATGACTATCAAATGAACTACTTCCCGTGTGAAAAACTTACGCCTAACTTTGAAATCTCCCATACATTGGTTATATCACACGAAAGTGATGCTTAAATGTTACTGCCACTTAAAATCCAGTATTGTCTTAGGATTGATAATACGAAATAGTGAATTGTCCTACAGCATTCATTTTGGTTGACGAGCGAACAGATAATTTAGCAACCATATAAACAAATATCTACACCAAAAATTTGCCTGAACAACATTAGAAGCGGACACAACCAACTGCCTGAATTCCTGCCCAAACCAGCTGGTACGCAGACATTAAGCCTTGAAGATTTGAGTACAATTAACAACATGAACTAAAACAAACTTTGAGAAAACGCATGCATCAGTGATTGGTAGCAAAATCCCCTTATTTCGTTGTTCTTTCAACGAGCCATGGAATAAAAGGAAACCTATGATAGGTCCTGATGAAATGCTCATCATTTAAACCCTTGTTCATCTTAATAATTACGTCAAAAAATGAGTGGGTAATTTATTACCACTGATTCTTCGCAAGAATTAACTAGCATCTAGTTACTGTATAAGATTTCAATAGTATTGTCTCAATACTACCTGTAGACTTATCTTATTTGAAATCGATAGAGGCCACTAGTGGAATCCAAGATATAATTTATCCAACTTGAAGATCTTTAGATGAATGTACCAATATTCTTATGTTGAAATTACTACTGAGATTATAGCTCAGAGTACATTGTCTTTAAATTAATATTAACCAGACAAACATTAACATAGTGTTTGCCACTGAGCAACAAAATTGTTGTGGCTATTTATTCAACGAGTATCAGTTGGTAATATGTCTTATACTTACCTTTTGCCCATTTTTTTGAGATAATTCGATGGAAGTAGAGTGGACTACTCCCTAAACATGAGATGGGCTTTACCTAATTCGTGTAAGGTATATTATGACTCGAAAAGTACGCTGCATATAAACAGAAAATACCGCAACTTTTTGGGACGATACCAAAACTAGAACCACATGACATTAAGAATAGCTACCTAGTTACAGCTAGTCAGTACATAGGCTTTAAAAATGTGACCACTGATATAAGTTAGTGCTCCATAAGGCTCTTGTACCTAGATAACTAAATACGATAAATATTGCTCAAAGCGTCTCAAATCCACTTACACTCTGTACAAAAGTGAGTAGTGGATTTCAGACCTTTAATCCTAGCAGACCACAGCAAGGCCCGGTGTAGTGGACAAATCAACCGTAATGACTGTATCTATTTTAGATTTGGTGGTCGATATGAACCAACATATATTTCATTATATTTGACCGTTTGAATGACTTTAGAGCTATTACATCCATTCCGGAATTTTGTATTATTATTATTCATTATTTTGAACACATAAAGATTGGTACACGGGGGCATCAAATACATATGCGCCACAAAGTAAAAATGAGGCCAGTAGCAGTTATCATTGATTTGTGTGAGGGCTGTGATATTACCCGTGTGCCCGGATTGAGGCAAGTGGTTCTCTCAGGGGACCACACCCGAAGCCTTTGACCTAAAGGTCTGATCCACAAGGAAGTGAAGCGACGTAAGGAAATGCAGTCCTATGACCAACAATCGGTTCATACGCCATTTGTTCCTTCAGGATATTGGAGCCCATGTGAACCATTGGTTTAGAATCAAGGTTTTCCAAACCCTAGGTGGACTCTCCGTGTCCACCGACCCGGTTAAAGCGCCGAACGTTCGCTTTTCATCCTCTCAATTTTGTAAACAACACCCTCACCATGAGAAGGCAGTGAGTAGGACTTCCCTGGCAGAGGCTATATACGCGTGGCCATATGAGAGCATTTCGAGAGGGAGTGGACTTTCCCCACCCTTGGCCGTACCAGGGCATTTGTATCACTATACATTTCAAAACAGTTGACATACAATAATGCCATGACTTCAATGTCACTGCAGTGACATTAACACAACAAGTGGGTCATTTACATGTGTCAAAAGTTAGTAGTTTCAAGACTATTCTGGAGTTTGCAAAATACTTTTTAAATGAATGACCTAAAGTTGACCCAGACATTAACTATTATACGTGTGTCAGTCAGTCAGTCAGTCAGTCAGTAACAACGTAGAACTTCGTACGTACGTGTGTGGCTGACAATAGTTATGATGGTACAAACAGTCCATTTTGGAAACGGAAACTACTACACAACCTTGTTAGTCCCTTCATCCCGATTTCGCTATTTCCGAAAAAAACTTATCTGTACAGATAACGAAAAACGTTTTTCGTAAATTCTGAGGGAGCTGCAATAAAATATTTTGGGGGAAAAGTACAAAAACACCAAAATTTCCCCAGGAAAATCCCCAAGATTTCGCCCAACTTCGTGGAGAACTACCAAAAGTTTTACGACTTTAGGGAAAACTCCAAAATTTACCCAGAATTCCCCAAGGTTTCCCCAAAATTAGGAGCTTGGGACAAATCCTCCAGAGTCTACCTGCAGGATCAGTACACCTTGGGAATTTGCTAACAAGCTATGACTACATATTATCCGGTCTAATAAACTTTATTATGTCATTAGGTAGTCTCATATGCATATATATTTGGTGCCCTCTTGTACCAATATTTATGTGTTCAAATAAAATAATAAACCCTACGTCTCTGCCAAGTATTGATAAATATTAGTGTAATTTTAAAAATTTCAGCATCGTTGCAGTATTTACTAGTGATGTTATATGACAATTCTAATTTGCCTCACAAGTATCGAACAACCCTTTAGCAAACTTCTAGACCAATACGAGGTGCAAAACGAAAATACCACTAGTAGTTGAATCTGGCCCTATCAATGTCCCATAAATAAAATATATCCCGGACCATTTCTCATCTGAGTACGATATAATACTTCGGAAGTCGATATTTATTGTATCAGAAACCATTGTTTTGTTTGGGACTTGAATACAACTATATTCCAAGGCCTTCAGGTGATCACTGGAATATGTTAATCTCTACTGGCTTAGAACAATACAGATCCAGTTATTGTAAGATTAGGAATGCCTGTAAAGTGTTAATAAGCAAGACTAGACATTCATACGAAAAACAATTGGTTAGGGATTCTAGATATAGTCCGAAACGGTTATTCTCGTATATAAAAAGGCGAACTAAGAGAAGCGATGGAATTCCATCACTTTTGATACGAGACAACCCGTTAATCTTAGCAGAGAATGATGCCGAAAAAGCTGAAGCTTTATCGGAATATTTTAGCAAAGTGTTTTCTATCGGTAATGAGGAACGACCAATGATTCATCGTGACCGTGACGGCTCGCTGATGGATCCTGTAGTCATTGAGAAAGATACTGTTTTAAGGCTACTTCAGCATCTCAAACCTGATAAGTCCAGTGGTCTCGATGATATTCATCCTAGGATTATGAAAGCCATATCAGATGAAATTGCCGAACCTTTAGCGATACTATTCGACATGTCTCTGAGACAGTCCAGACTTCCTAGAGACTGGAAAGACGCCATAATACGTCCGGTGTATAAGGCTGGGAGTAGGGATTTAATTAGTAACTATAGACCCGTTAGCTTAACTAGTGCAGTTGTGAAACTGATGGAGAAAATCATTCGGATAGCTGTTATAAACTATGTTGAAGGGCAAAATCTTTTCTCCAGGGCACAACGTGGTTTTCGGAAACGCCTATCTTGCTTGACAAATCTTCTCATTGCACGAGAAGAGTGGGTTGCGGCAAAGGATCGGAATGCTCCTGTGGATGTAATTTTCATAGATCTAAGTAAAGCCTTTGATAAGGTTTCACATTCTGGTCTTAAATTCAAACTGAAACGTTTTGTAATCCATAACACAGTCGTCGATTGGATAAGTAACTTTCTCCATGACAGGAGACAAAGGGTAAGGGTTAATGGGGCTCTCTCCTAGTGGGTACCTGTAAAAAGTGGGGTTCCCCAAGGCACAATCCTAGGTCCTCTTCTCTTTTTACTTTATGTAAATGAATTGCCAACTGTAGCAAAATCATCCGTTCTACACTTCGCTGATGACATAAAGATTTGGAGACCCATACATAGTATGTCGGATAGAATAGTATTACAGGACGATCTTAGCTCATTGGTGGCATGGTTAGACAGGTGGTCACTAGAAGTAAATCCTAATAAGAGTGTAGTGATGCAGTTAAATAACTCTGATGAATCGTATGACTATACACTACGTGGATTCGTGCTACCCAAAGCAAGAAACTATAAAGACTTAGGAGTTATATTAAGCAATGATCTCAAAACGACTAGTCACTGTAAGGCTGCTGCTGCAAAAGGCTATAGGGTATTATGGTCAATTCGTAGGTCTTTCCAGTATTTAGATGATGAAATGTTTGGATTTCTATACCCGATTTATGTGCGACCACATTTAGAATACGGGATTCAAGCAGCGAGTCCTTGTTTCAAATATGAAGCAGATATGCTAGAAAGAGTCCAACGACGAGCTACTAAGATGGTACAAGGTCTAGCTGGCCTATCTTATGAAGACAGACTGAGACACCTTAACTTATTTCCGTTATCTTACCGTAGAGTACGGGGTGATCTAATATTGGCTTATCGTATACTGAACGATGACCTTGGTATTAACATGTCTTATCTTTTGCTTCCGTCTAGAACCGATCATTTGAGAGGACATTCGAAGAAAGTTCAAAAACCGAGATCAAACCGTTTACGTCTGGAGTTCCGTTTCTCGCACCGAGTAGTGAATTACTGGAATTCTCTACCGGAACACATAATATCAGCACCGTCTGTTAATATATTCAAAACGAGATTGGACCTCCACAGTATTACAAACTGCAAGGATTAATATAGGTCGACAGACCTCCTATCCTTATTACTGAAGACTGAAGACTGACCCATATGAAACATGGGCCATGAAGAGTTAATCAGCTTGCAACTGAGCATAGCACCACCGGTAAGGTCGACTTGACGATTGATAACATCTATGTTTAGTACATTTGGATTGTATGGGTTGGGATATTTAAATTGTACAGAACTGACAACATCATGCCAGGGATGTCTATAAAAGGTTTAATATCTTTTAAAGCGTAGCGTACTTGATAACAAACTTCTCTGACCAACGGCGAGTGTCTGATAGCATAACTATTTGCAGAAGGGTATGTTTTCACGCGTTTCTAGTTGTGAAAACACCGAAGATAAAAGATGACACAATTCAGTGGAGATGCATGAAACTACGATTATATTGCGGAACTAGGAGGAACAGATTCAGATTCATACAATATAGGGGAAGTTCCGCTACCCGTGGTCTGATCTCATAAGGATCTCGAGGTGACAATGAGTCATGGTCTTAAGACGACGTCCCATTGCCGGGAGGTCGAAGCTAAAAGATTTCGAACCCTCTGGGCCTTAAAGCGGACATTCACTAAGTTAGACACTACCATGTTCACCACAGTATACACATTCTTAGTGAGAACTAAGCTTAAGACATGTGTTCAGGCTGTAGGCCCCTGTTTAAAAGGTGACTTGAATATCCTAGGAAAAGTACAGAGGGCAGATACCCGTGCAATCCCACTCATTTTGATTGTTTGATACTGTAGTTCGACGGTTGTAAATTTGTCCTGATGTCACCACATAACCTATAAGATTTTATGCGTAAGTCAAATCATAGTCTACACTAACTCGTCCTGTCGTGACAGTCAGCGATATGACGTCCAGCACTTTTAAAGAACTCATTTGAGCTGGAAAGAGAGTAATATGTTCAATGCAAAAAGTAAGAGGTTACGGAGAGTGATCAAGCACACATGACGGGAACATGCCAATTCGATTAATTGTCTCCGCGTTCACCATTGCTGACTTTCTCTCCGTTTTAGATGTTGAATATGAATTTCCCCAAATGAAATATTTTCAGTTTCGAGTATCATGAAGTTAGAATCAATAAAACTACAACTCCATCATATGTTAAAGTCAATAACAATCAGGTGACATTTCTGAGGTTCCGCCGGCCTCTCTACCGGAAGCGGTAAACGTAATACAGGTGATGGCAAAATTGTTGGATCTAATCTCTCTCACAACACAATTCTTACCGTACCCAATCCCATGAGTATTCATGGAAATACTACCTGTGATCTATACTGTGACTTTCTTCTTTCAATTCCCACTCTCTCTCCAATAAAGTTAGTCATCTTCAAACTCCTTTGTTCCTTGTAAATCCAAGCATTATATTAATACTACAGGAACGTGGTGCAGATGATCTATGTCTGATCACTCCTTACACGTGGATAACTACGTTTTCCTTTGATCCGATAGGCGCTATGGAATAGGAGGTGGTACAACTATCTATGTCCGTCTGAACATTTAAGCGTGTAAGTTTAAAAATGAATGTTCTAATGTTTTGGATGACGACAGTTACTTTAAATTGTGAATCGCAAAGCTACCTACTGATGGGATGTATATACAAACCACCCCATGCGGATATCAACCTCGACAAACTGTTAGCAAACATGATTTTCATTGTTTCGCACCAACCGCATGCGTTTAAAATCATCGGAGGTGATTTTGACCTACTGAACATCACACAAAATTCGAACTCGGTATTAGGACCATATAACAGGTTAGTTAAACCAACAGAATATTAGGATTATTCCAACAAGTCTGAAAGGCGGCTAGGAGGAATAATATACTTGATTTAATATTTGCAATCAACATCGACCCTAATTCAATGCAGGAATGTCATGAATGTTTTGAGTGGTCACACAGTCACACTGAGTATTACTCATATTATATCATAGGACTCTAAGGCCACAAAAATGTACCAGAGCATGTAGTTCAATCAACAAACACGGAAGCGCGTTGAAACTCTTATACAGTGTTACGATGGGAATAAAATTTAACCACAAGTAACATTGAAACCGAGTTTTTCGACTTATACCATATTCTGACGTATTGCCTTAACTGCACTGCTCCATTTGTCAACCATGTGAGTTATGATGATAATAAGGTCCAATAAACACATAACACTTTTAGGATAAAGCTCAAAATATTGAGGCACGCTACAACAAACACCATGACGTATATGCGCTTCAGAGCATACTCACACTGGTTGACAGTAATGAATCATCTTATTGCAAGTATCTTACGACTATGGAGAACAAGTCTTGGTGTGGCAAAAACTCAAACTTATCACAACGTCGGCCTCCCAAATCTCTCTTGAAACCAAATTCTCTAAATACAACCAGATTCTTCTTATTTAATGGCAATTTTGTGGACAAACTTGATACCACATGTGAACAATTCAACCACCATTTCTCGTGATGCTGTAACACAAAAACTGTAACGTCTATCATTAGGCTTCCAATGTTGACACCTAAGAATCTATCCACGATTGATTTCGCATCCACCAACACCAAGTAGGCCATATCTGCCTTGCTAAAGTTTTATGACGGTGGACCTGAAGAGATTCCTATATCATTTGCGGAATACTGTAGTAGAGAATTTCGATTGCTGTTTAAAACTGTTTAATCTGTCTATGGATTATGGAGCCCATTTGTAGTTTTATTGGCCCTAGCCACATAATCCTCAAAGCTGAACAGGAAATAACCGGAAAATAGACATTCAACATTTAACACAGAGAGAAGGCCAACAGTGGTGAACGCGAGGATATTCATGCTATCAATCGGATATCATGGCTCAATCTCGCAAACATGGCCACTCTCTATGACTTGTCTTTATTTGCCTTAAATATATTATCCTGTCCCCAGCCTAAATGTGTTCTTCAGAAATACTTAGTATCATATTGTTAATTGTTACGATATGATGAGTCAGTGACTTCCACATAAGATCGTATAGAGTAGGTGGATACATCATGGAAATTCTGTACTTTAGGATTAGGCCTATTATTATAGCAGTACTACCGAAGAACTAGACCATAATTTTGCAGCTTCACCAAAGCATTTTCGGAGCATTCTGACAACATGGATTACCACGACTCAAGTAGAAACCTCTCTGAATCAAGCACATTAAATCAAACTTTGTCTTCATCTACAGGCCTATAAGTAATAGTTCTTACATCTCGGCATCCAACCTTCTGTATTCTGTCATATCGTTTCACAACTGGTGCGATGAGGAAAATATTTTATCGATTCCAAGAACCTACACAAACTCACCCTAGCATTTCCTCGTCATTAGCTGTACAACCATGTGAAAAAGACCTACAGTAAAACTCCGTTGCAGAGAAACTATGACACGATTCAAAAGTCTACTTGATGGTTTTCTTTCCGACGGTCATTATTATATATCATCGTGATCACCAATGGTTTATACAATCAAGGTCCGATGTATATCTAAATGTCAGTAAAGCAGGGTAGAACTGATGAAATTACAATAGTTTGTTTTCTTTCTTCTCATCCAAATAACCGAAGTCCGTTAATGTTCATATTTATTATTGTTCTCATATCGCTTACCATGTCTAGCAATCAGCTTCCCATTTTGCCACCTGTGAGTTGAAAATTGATTCATGCAGATGATTGTTAGAATTTGCGTGAAGAACTCTGACTTCTGCGTAAGTGCCGATGAGACAGTGAACTCTTGTCATCTCGTCAGTGATGTACAACAGACGGCTATGTTCGCTGGCTACGGTCCCTGTTAACGCGTGCAGGCTGGGAAGCTTCCCGAAAGAGTTTTCGTGTCGGTTGGTTTGGAGCTCGGAAAACTGCAGGGTTTTCTGCAGTTTCGATGATATCTTCCATACTTACTATGTTACCAGCACAAATCACGGTTACCTGTCTCTCGCGATTTAGAGACAGGTCGTTCCAGTGAAGAACGTTGAGTTTGGGAGCTTCTACATTCATGACGAATAATAAGGTAACGTGTCAGAGTATGACAGAGTTCTGCGACGTCATTTAGTTTCGTTTCATGTTTTTATTTGACTGGATAGACCCTGGCGTTGAAACGTCCGGTGATCTCTTGAATTAGGTCAGCAGGTGAAGTCAGAGCGTCTACAGTGTTACTTTGAAATCAGAGAAGCACTGCCTGCACCTGTTGGGGAAGCTTAGACAAGAAAAGCTGAATAAACGGACCATAGTCAAAGGTCCGTTAATCAATAACCTCTCTCATTCGTAACAACAATGTCTGCTTCTGAGCCATGTTGTAGATCGACGTTATTGAGTGGTCAATCTAAACTTTATTGATAGATTAGATCTCCACGTTTAAGAATAGACCGATTTAAGGTTTCAAATTATTAGTAAATATACTAGTTGTCACGTACCTGCCATCAGATACAAAAGATTTCTAAGCGAAAACATTTTCTATTCCTCCCACACAGTTATAATTTAGGTAACTCCTTTCTATTAGTATCCCAAGTTGAAAAAGATTTAGGAGTCTTGGTGCCCTACGATTTAAAGTCTTACGCTAATTGCGACAAAAATGCCTTCCGAGCAAACCTTGCACTGGTGACATTGAAGCGCATTTTTGGCCAGTTTGACGGAAGAACTTTTCATATAATCTTCAATAGTTTTATCCGTCCCCATTTAGAGTACGAAACATAGTATTTCCCCCTCACTCCAAAAGGATAAGGACACCCTGGAACGTATTTAACGGCAAGCCACGAAATCAGTTCGAGGACTCAAATTTAAACCTTATGAAGAGCGCCTCCATTCACTTAACCTTTACCCATTAGAGTATAGACGTCTTAGAGGTGACCTTCTGATGGCTTATAGTATCCTTAACATTTCTGGACATCCTCTCAAACATCTACTTAGGTTCAGTTCCAACACTAACCTAAGGGGTAACACCCCAAAACTGGAGACACAACATAGCAGAACGGACTGTAGACACAACTTCTACTCCTTAAGAGTTGTCAAATGCTGGAATTCGCTGCCAGGCGAGCTAGTCCAAGCGACTTCCCAGGAGTCCTTCAAGAGGCAATTTGATATATTCTTAAGGACTAAGGATAGTATCGCACTATGATTTATCAATTTCTTTTCCTGTTTTCTTGTTAACATACCGAGGTTCCTGCCTAGAGGATTTGGTGATCCCCAGCTACTAGACACGGGAGCCTGTTAAGCGAAAGCTTCTTCTATTCCGTCCACAACCATTTGAACAATTATTTGAATTATTTAAATTACATCTGCAGTTACTTGCAGCATCATAAATAAGCATGACAGAGATAAAAGTGCACATTTATTTCCTAAAGAAATTTCCTGTTTCGTCAAAACCAATGGGATCTTATAAGAAGACAAGAAATCCATCTAAGATCAACGTTCAATTAAAGAAACGTCGTGACCCTCATATCCCCACATTATGAATTTGGGATTTACAGGTATGACCTTACTGCCTTATTAACATGTGTTGACATGTTAGACCGTTAATTAGTCTAATTCTTTAAGCAATTTACCTACGTGTGGCTTATTCAGTTTCCTACCAGTTTTTCTTATTTCTGTTCCTCCTAGTTCCGCAATATAATCGTAGTTTCATGCATCTCCACTGAATTGTGTCATCTTTTATCTTCGGTGTTTTCACAACTAGAAACGCGTGAAAACATACCCTTCTGCAAATAGTTATGCTATCAGACACTCGCCGTTGGTCAGAGAAGTTTGTTATCAAGTACGCTACGCTTTAAAAGATATTAAACCTTTTATAGACATCCCTGGCATGATGTTGTCAGTTCTGTACAATTTAAATATCCCAACCCATACAATCCAAATGTACTAAACATAGATGTTATCAATCGTCAAGTCGACCTTACCGGTGGTGCTATGCTCAGTTGCAAGCTGATTAACTCTTCATGGCCCATGTTTCATATGGGTCACCTGAAGGCTTTGGAATATAGTTGTATTCAAGTTCCAAACAAAAGAATGGTTTCTAATACAATAAATATCGACTTCCAAGGTGTGCTCAGTGGTATGGAACATATGGAGTATACTGTTCACCCCGAAAACAAAGATTGGTGAGTCCATCAACATTTGTACTCCTCAAATCTCAATTTATTTTACGTGTTCCAAATTGTTAACAGTAACACCCTGTTTAGGTTGATAATAGACGCATTACGCGCGTCTTAAATGTCCATTGTATGCGAAAATTATCTTCGACATCCAGACAGAATATGTTTGCTGCATATTGGGTTAATTTCATTTTACATAAACAACCTTAATACAGAACTAGTTCAAGGAGCATAGGTAAATGGACGTGACTAGCAAAGAACTTATTACAATTGCACAATAACCTGGAGTTCTTCCTCAGAGTACATACTGATAACAGAGTCCTCGCTTGTCAGTATAGCGTTGGTGCTTGCAAGCGTTTGATATCTGAACGTCATTCACACTGAACTACTTCGGTCTCAAAATCCGTTGTTTTCGTTGATAAATTCCGCCATTTTCTTAGTGTTTATAACATTGATTTCATCACTTACGTTTCACAGATATTTCGCACGTACTTCTGACACTAATGTGAGAGTTTAAACCCTAATGACCAATCTAGTTGCAATCGTTTTTACATAAACTTGGCTACAATCCATGCCAGAATACTGTGGATTAAAATCGAAGAGTACTATAACTAATGTTATTTGTAAACATGGTCATTTTATGTTACTTGATACTTGTTTATAATGATTTGTAGCACAAGTGAGGTTTCTGAGGCTAATAGTATGTTCGTTTCGTGATTCAGTTAGCTAAAATGAGCTAACGGCATGTTTAGTAAAGGCTTTTTAAGCATTTTCCACTATATTCCTCCCATAAAACATGACCATTCACAAACTTACTACTCAACGCCCTGTTTTGTGTTATCTAGGGGACTTGAAACATGGTTATTAAAGATGAAGACAAAAGAAAGTCGTCGTTTTTAAACCTAATTTTTGTTAAGTATGAAAGAATAGAGCAAGATAAAATGATTAAAAGCTGCATAGTTTACTGCCAGTTACCACAAAATGACATCGTAGGACTAATAAATTCCAGATATCAGACGAGTTTCTATCTATTATGTCGCCTATTTATTATCCTCTTATTTTAGTGACTTCTTTTTTAATGATGTTGCAACCTGATCCATTAAACTTCTCCGAAGTTCATGTAACTTTTTCCGTTTGCTGTGAAATACGTCAACTCAACCCTCTTGCTTTTAGTTATATGCATAGTTCAAAGCTGAACATTAAGGTATCGTTTCAGTAAAATGAAAGTTGAACTATTTCTTGTTCGGAAATACTAAATTTTATTCTTTAAAAATTGATTTTTGGCGAAAGTAACCTAGTGATGTTGGTGGTACGTCTGATATGAGGGGGCAAGAGTCAAATATGGTAGTTAGGCCATATTTTCGTTGTTGATTGATTTACAAAACTTGTATCTAGTCTTTCAAACGACTTTTACTAATATTTTACTTTTTTGTTTATTTTATACATAGGCGTGTTGTTTTACAAGAGAGAAAACATTTTGTCGACTAGTTTTTCTATCTTACGTTGATTGTAACGGAATTACCTCATTAATGCAGTCTAACCGAGTAGTCACCAGTCGATACAACTTCAAATCAATTCAGGGGATTGATTTCACACTCACTTAAACGACATTTCTCTGTTATAACCACATCGTTACTCTGTTCACACACTAGTATTTTGGTTGTATAACTCGATTTTAAGCATATGATTTATGCTGCTAAATTAAATGAAATTGTCTCAGCTATAGTTTCGGCTTAGAATGCACCCAAAGTCATTCCGTAGTTGTTTTAATGTATTGGGATGGTAATTGGTGCTTTCAATATTTTCTTCCAAGATTATATGAACTTAACCCCAACAGATGTTTCCCATTTTGTGTTACTGACCAACAGCATTTGATTTCTTTAAATTTGTTCCTCCATTATACTTATATGTGATCAAACCTTACATCCAGCATACCGATAAGCAATACCCATTTGGCATATTCTCTTTTACTGAATGCGATTCTGATTTATGTTCCACTCTACTCATATCTAACTATTAAAGTGATTTAGTAGATCATCACCAAATCCTCATCTTTGACCATAACTATCAGCTTTATTTGCTTTACAGGACTGTTCTGGAGCATTCAATTTCAGTCAAAGCGTTCTCACTTATTGCAATGTCAGCTGTAAGTATGAGTAAGCAAAATGCACATCAGGTACGTTCTGAAATTTTGACGTTTTTTGTTCGATTTCTTTATCGTACTGAGATATGTCACATATTTAAATTTCAATACAAGTAAAATAAGTACTTCGGTCATCATTTGGTCATTCCATTCTGTACTTTTTACCTTTGTAAACTACAGCAAAATATACATTGAACAACTGCTAAAAGTGATGTTATTGCACATACAGTTATCCTAAAAACACCATTTGCATGTATATCGCCTGGTCAATTTTTGATGAATTCTGTGGAACAAAAAAGGCGTCATCGATATTAAACAACATATCCCATAGATTTTGTATTATTCTTAACTTTAGCTATTGTTCAATAATTTAGGAAACTAAATCAAGTCATTTAATTACAAACTGAAATATTTATCTACCTGGTTGAATTTCGACGTGTAACTGTTAACTCTAACCGTTCCACTGGCATTATTGAGAACCTAGCATAAAACATCCTCTTGGTTACCAAGTTGCATTAATTTTTGGTAATATTAGACCCTTAATAGCCATATTACTTAAAATATTTGTTTTTTTATGTGAGATAGTGTAATGTATTGTAAGTTTTTACTTTTTTTACTTTCAACCTTACGTGTTCTCCAGGGTTCACCATTATTCCCCGTTTTTGCTTAATTTTGTAATAAATATTCTTCTAGAAATAACACTTTACCCAATTTGTCAGGGGTTTTTCTCCCAGGATGTCCGCTTATCGACTTGAAATATGCAGATGACAGTCTTATTTGGTGAAGACACTGACAAAATCCAGTATTATTGATATAAGGAACCAACATAAGCTAGTCATCTATTGAAGTCCAGAAGCCATTAGACAGGTATTTTGTCTTAATATGGGATTCCTCAGCTGCGCATTATCACTACCCCACCAGGGGTCGAATCCACAACCATCGGTCTCGTTCAACTCAACCCCTAGACCACTGAACCGGAACTCGATAGTCTGTATGTTTAACTTCAGTCAGTTGTTTTCGGTGGGTAGCTGCCTCACACTCGACACTTTTGGACTTTACTAGTCACAACCCACCTAAATACAAAGTTTTCTGATCTCCTTGAGCAACAATGCTAGCATGTCTGAGATGTGTTTCTCCTCCTCTGAATGCAAAATGTTTCTTCAGGACTGGGCTGCGTCATCGTCTGATCTAGTGATAGGAAATGAAGCAGTTAAGTGCCTCGACTACCAGTTATCTTGGAAGTCTCATCAGTCCTGGTTGGTTGGTGTCCTATTGCTTCAAAAAACCCGCTTGGCGCTTGCCAACTCACGTCACTTGTGACGGTGAGATATCTATTCGCTAACCAAATGGTGTGTATGCTTCTCCGCAGTTCGCTCTATTTTATTCTATGGGTGTGAAAAGTGACAATCAAAAATAGAGGATATTTGTAGGTTACAGCGTGGCAAGTGTCTCTCAAGATTTATTCTGGCATTTTGAGACCACTGAGTGACCAGTGCTGAAGTTAAGCATAGGGTGCTGGGTAAATATGGCGAATCGGTTGGTGAGGTGATGGATCTTCATTGGCTAGGGTGTTTGGGATATGTATTACTAATTCCCGGCCACTGCTTACCTCTAGGGGCTATACTGTCTTCTGTGGAAGTGGGCTATAAGGAAACTAGAGTCAGTCAAACCAAATCATCTTATCACTCTTCAAGGTTCTTGACTGTTGATCTGAGCCATGTTGATAGATACAGACTACCTGGTCGGAGTTCGTGTGATAACTTCGGTCAGTAGTTGTAGACTCTGGATCAGATGACTCCAAATTGTTCACAGTGGTCCAGATGCATTCACTCCTTGTTTACCTCTCACTCCTGAATTTCAGGGTCCCTTCGAACGTACCTTTTCACTATATTTTTGAACCATATTCCCAAGATTCAGTCGTTCTTTCTATCATCGATACTACATGATCTCGATCTCTTTTGTTATTTTCACTTCGTTGTGATGATGTGGTGTAGTAGATTGAGCCATCACGAATCTGTGCGAAGCCTTATGCTTATGATTTCTTTCTGACACTTTTTGAAGACATTTAATAATGCCGAGTAATACTTGTGGGTGAGGAAGCAATTGAAGTTTTTAAATTATCTGTCTTAAAACTTTATAATATCTAGGATTACATTCGCTGATAGTGTTTAGCTATCTACTGTATAAAACACCACATAGAAAAATTTTCAAGAAATGGGTTGCAGAGAGTAGCCTTAAATCATTTTTGTTTGTCTATTAGAATATAGTTTGCTTTTTTAATTTGGTCTTATCTCAGTTATTCTTTCTTTAAATTGTTATATCAACTTCGCTTTCATATATATATATATATATATTACAATTTGATTCTTTTAGATTCATAATAACTTGTTTTATTTACCTAGGGTCGCGAGGCTTTGAACTGGGTTATTGATTATCGTCTTCCAGCAATCCGTTCATCCCACAGTAATCGACCCAGCGAACTCACTGGCACCAATTTTCCTGGACAACTCAATACACCATTATCGAGTAATGTGCCTTCCTTCTCAAACCCAACTGTTCAAACTATGGATTCACCTTTCCAGACATCTGGACATGTTACTTTAACCTCACCTACTCTGTCATCATCATATCAGAAGTCTTCCAATTCACTGTTTTTTGCCGACATTCCTAGACATATTCCTCCCAGTTCACAGTTTTCTAAAGATTTTTCTACTCAGTCCCAAAACGATTCCCTGGAATCAACATTAGAGACACTTTCTCGTGACGTCACATCTATTACTGACACCATAGTTAAACGCTCTCAACGAGTAGCACATCTCTTTTCCGGAATTGACGAATATGTAGTTATTCTTTAAATCAAATTTCTAGCTGCCTTTCCCATATCTCTAACTTTTCCCCCTCCTGTACATTATGGCTGTTTTTTGTAGAATAGAAACGAATCTGTTTCCACTTCTACTCTTAAAACACAGAACTCTAAAGTGCTTAGTTTATGCTTTTCTAATATGGCCAAGTATGTCATGATTTCTCGTCTCGTAAATAGAAAATTGTCTTCATCTATGGGATTCACATAATTTCTTATACAATTCAGTGTGCCGGTTAAAAATTAAAAGCCATCTTTGACCTTCAATCAGAGTGTTTGAAATAGTTCTAGTCTATTAAAAGCTAATCCACAAAACAACTGATTGTTATCTATCAACTCGTTTCGAATGAAATAAATACTTCTTATAAAGTATATGGATACATTTTTGCTTTAATGTCACTTAACTGTGTCATTTTTTGTTGCCAACACAGTGAAGTTTAAGTGCTAAATAATTTAAGTTATCGCCTTACTAATTTCAGTATAAATCCAGATCCTATGCACACTATCTTGGATATACACCCATAATCGACTGGTAGGAAGTGTTGTTATGGGACCTAATAACCCCTCAGTCATTATATTATGACAAGAAAACATTTAGTTTTTCGACAGGAAATTGACCTTGGGTTTCGTGGTATCCGGAACTCGTCATCAAGGTGTACCTGTGATCTTCAGAGAACTGGTACTCCTTGAAGAATTCAATTTTACGCCACCTAGCCGGGTAAAGATTCAGAGAATTGTCATCTTAGAGACAACGGGTGATAACTCTTAAGAATGCTTGGTTACACCCTACATTTTTTAGTTTATCGATATCATAGTTTATATTGTACTTCTCTAAGGTTGAACTCCTACTCAAACCTATAGACATAGTTCTGTCAGGTGACGACGCTGACAAGATGCATAGTTTTCTGAATTCTGTGAGGCAAAGACTACATTCAGTTTTTGGAGTTTTGTTCTCTGAGCTGGATGGTTTGGTCGTGGAGTTTTCGTCGTTCTGAACGACATCATCAGCACAAACTTCAGATAAAAGTGAAGTGTTAGAATTTTGATTTTTGTTCCTATATTTGTGTATGATTTTCTTGATTGGTTGATAAATTGGATCGATTTCAATGTCGTTGTTGATTGCTGAGTGCCAGGCTTCTAAAAATTCTCTGGTGTTTTTGGAATTTCCTCTGTCCAAGATTTCCACATTTTTCCAATCAAATGAGTGTCCTCAGTTGTCTATGTGTATTGATATAAGTGAAGTATCATGGCGTTCGACTGCTAATTGATGTTCATGAAGGCGAAGGTGAATGGGGCGTTCTCTCTGTCCGATGTAGTATTTTTCGCAGTTGGCACAATTTATTTTGTAGATGGTGTTTGATTTGTCTTCCTTTGTTATTTCATTCTTTGGTTTGCATAGGATTGATTGTAGTGATTTTGTCGGTCTGTGTGCCACACCTATCCCGAAGATTTTCAGCAGTCTCGTTGCGGTTTCTGATATGCCTTCCAGTGCGTTTCAGTGTGTCCTCGTCCTTTTGAACAAAGTGTGTACGCAGTTGATTTTGTGAGCGAGGACACACTGGCAGCACGAAAATATGAAGAGGAATACCTGAACGACGTATTTCAAAAGAACGGTTACCCAATCATCTTCGTCAAAAATACCAACCGCACGCAGCATCAGAACCTAAGTCAAGCACAGAAATCAACAAAAGGATCGCCCTACCATACATAGAAAGCATACCAGAAACCTCAACGGGACTGCTGAAAACCTTCGGGATAGGTGTGGCACACAGGCCGACAAAGTCGCTACAATCAATCCTATGCAAACCAAAGAATGAAATAACAAAGGAAGATAAATCAATCATCCACCTGAGCTACAAATCTTCTCCACCATCTCAACTACATTCAGTGCTACACATTTTACACTCGTCAAATTTAAAATGATAGTTCAGAACTGATCTATACTGACATTGTTTAAAAACAATTAGTGTAATGACTAAACACAGTGATCACTACTGATTTAGGGAGGTGTGTATCTGTTATAATGGACCAGTTGGCGATAAATACACAATGCAGATATAAAAGGGTTGTTTGACATTCGGTCAGTGAAACGGTGTAAAAGAAGTTTAACAAAAATGAAGATAAATTAGTTTTTGCATCTGATTTTCTTATGATACAATACATAATAATTGAACTATACATCTTTACTGACAAGAAGTCGGAGAATATTTTTCCTTCCCATTGATGAAATTCTTTTATGGTCTAACTCTGTATTTTTTTCGTATATATAAAATTAGGTTTCACCATAGCTTCATGTATTCAGTGTTCACAATCCTTTCGTAACTAAAATTTTTCAATAGACAAAAAATATTCAAATTTTAGAGGAAAGTAAATTTGAAGTGTCAGTAATATGAATTAACTCACTAATTCGTTGACTAAGTTCACCAGTATTATGGTCATGATTTGCTCGTCTGTAGATTCAACAGTGGCATATTTAAAGTTTGTCCACTAGTCTGTTCCCGTCTGTAGCTCTCCTAGGGTTACTGCCAGTCCCAAGCCCGGGTAAATGAGGAGGGTTGGGCATGGGGTCGGCTGACACATCCCGTAAAAAACGACCTTGCTAAGAAACGCTAACCAGATTAGACAAATTAAACCATTTAAACTCTGTCCTCCGAGTTGAAGGAAGAATTTTGATGCCTCATGATGAAAGCCGAGATTCTTTGGAAGTCATGAGATCAGCGCCCCTTCTAACAACCAGAGCAACAATAATTATATATGTAGATGGAATGTCCGGACAATGTGGGATACTAGGAGAACTAATGAAGTAGTTATGGAAATAAGGAGATACAAATTGACGGTACTCGGAATCAGTGAAACCCATAGGACCGAAGCTGGACAGAAAAGGATAGATTCAGGAGAGATGCTTCTGTATTTCGGTCACGAAGAATATGTTCCGAACAAAGGAGGTGTGAGAACTAAATAGGTACCACACTACTATCAGTACCAGGGGACGTTTTCAACAGTGTTGCTGAACCGGATGAAAGATTCAGTAGACACCCAACCTCAAGATCAACAGACTGAATTCCGTAAGGACCAGTCGTGCATAGACCGAATCATTATTGAACAATGAATTGAATGGAACTCGCCACTATACATCAACTCCCTTGACTATGAAGAAGCATTTGACAGTGTGGATAGGAGGACCTTATGGAACCTTCGCTGTCACCATAGTGTGCCTGAGAAAATCGTCAACTTCATCCGGAATTCATACGATGGGTTACAGTGCAAAGTGGTGCATGAAGGAGAGCTGACATATGCATTCCAAGTGTGGACCGGAGTCAAGCAAGGCTGCTTATTCCCCTGCTACATCTTCTGGTGGTTTAATGGATTATGAAAAACTCCACATATGAGAGGAAGCACAGAATACAATGGACAGTTAAGATGGAGCTAGACGATCCGGACTTCGCAGATGACTTGACCTTTCCATCTTATACACGCGGACAAATGAAGGTGAATACAGCCAATGTAACAGCAGCCTCTGCATCAGTAGACTTCAACATAAATAAGAAAAAAGGCAAGGTCCTCAGATGCAACATGGAGAACACCAACCCATTAACACTTGATGGAGAAGCTCTGGGAGATGGAAACTTTCATCATCGATGAACAAGGCGGATCCGATGCAGACGTAAAAACAAGGATTGGCGAAATAAGGACCGCTTTCCTGCAGTTGAGGAACATGTGGAACTCGGAACAAGTGTCAACCAATGTCAAAGTCAGATTCTTCAATACGAACATCAAGACGGTCCTACTGTACGGTGCTGAAACTTGGAGAACTACTACAACCATCATCATAAAATTGTGAGTATTTATAAACAATTTCCTACGCAAGATACTCAATGTCCGTTAACTGGATGCCATCAGCAACAGCCTACCGTGAGAGAGGACAAACCAGCCTCCAGCTGAAGAAGAAATTAGGAAAAGACGCTGGGAGTGGATAGAACATACATTTCGAAAATCTCCAAGCAGCATCACGAGGCAAGCACTAACTTGGAATCCTGAAGGGAAACGGAGAAAATAACAACCAGAGAACACACTACGTTGAGAATTGGAAGTAGATGCCAAAGGATGAATAGCACCTGAAAAGGATTGCCCAGGACAGAGTTGGAGAATGCTGGTGTGAGGCCTATGCTCCTCCAGTAGTGACAGTCGTAAGTAAACACTGGTCTGTTACTGAATTTACAATACGCTATTATTTTGTCAAACAACTGTTTCACGAAGTATGTGAAAAGGTCGACAACTAGTCCCTTCATACTTCATGAAAGGTATACATTTACTAAATTTATTTACTAGGATCTGTAATTTTATATTGTTTTATGTTTGTAAATAAAGACTATAATTAGACAGTCTAATCTAAATGGTAAAATAAGGAATACATCCCATTATTTTAGGTCATTCTACTAGATTGCTAGCGCAAAGTGAAGAAGACAATCTTTTAGTTTTATAGTTTATGCTCATTATTTCGGGCTAAGATGATTTTTTGTAACGATAGCAGTTGGATAGATAAAGCTTGTTTCAGTGATATACTTGTCATTGGTTTCAGAGGACAACAAACGATAGTTGAGTAACTCTTGCTACCATTTGTTTTTATGTCTCTTTCCCGAGTAGTTCTGCAGTAAACCAGATTTTATCAGTCACACATAAACATTGGTACAAGGAGGCACCACATATATATGCGCCACTCGAAACATTCGATTTGTGTGGGGGCTGCGATACTGTCCGGGCGCCCAAACCGAAGCAGGTTGTTTTCCTAGGGGGCCCCTTCCCGGTCGTCTGACTTAAAGGTCTAATCCACAAGGCAGTGGAGGAACGTAAGGAGATGCAGTCCCATGGTAGCTGGTGACCAACAATTGGTTCATACGCCTTTCGTTCTCTCAAGATCCTGGAGCCCATATGCACCATTAGTTTGGAATTAGGGATTTCCAACCCTCGTAGGTAACCCTCCGTTTCCACCAACCTGGTTAAAGCGCCGGACATTAACCTTTATTCCTCTCAATTTCGTAAACAACACACTCACCACGAGAAGGAAGTCAATAGGATTTCCTTAGAAGTAGCTGTATACACGTGGCCATATGACAGCATTTCGACAGGGACAATGGACTCTCCCGACCCTCGGCCATACCAGGGTATTTGAGGGCTTTCAGTTACCACTTTATTGTCAATTATGCCTTTAATCTTATGATACGTAATCGTGCCTCTTTGTAAATTTTTTTACCAGTTATTGCTAATGAATACCGACTGCAAAAACTTTTTCGATCTTGATGGAGTTTTGTTCTCTGAGCTGGATGGTTTGGTCGTGGAGCTTTCATCGTTCTTCTGAACGACATCATCAGCAC